CTTAAATCTTGAAGTTCTGAGTCACCTCACCATGTATATTAGGAGATGCTTACTAAGCCACCACACTGGATAGGATCTCTCTCCTCTGAACTTGACCACCAGTCCACCGCTTCACTCTTATTTACTGTCTAGTATTGTTTGGCGTCTTGGGTGTGTGTCTTGTTCCCCAACTAGACTGTGAGCTCCTAATGGTGAGTTCGGGACCTAGGACAGTGCCTTGCACAGAGCGGATTAACAATCAGTGTTGATTAATTGTGTCCAGAACTGTTTTTAATCTAAGTAGAATGAGAAGTTGCTATATAGAAAAGGAGTATCCTCTCATTGGAAGGATACAAGCAGAAGCTAGATAGCCACTTGCCTGCGACACTTTTAGAAGGAAATGCTGCATCGGGTGGAAGGTCGAGGTAGATGACTAAGGTCTTTTCCACCCCAGGATTCTGTGATTCCATGAAATGTCGCAATTGCTGCCACTGAGTCTAATGATGGAAAATGGGTTGTAGCTTCAGAGACAAATGACTGTCCAGAAGCCACGTGACTTTCCTGTTTGCTTGAGGAAAAAACAGTCCCCAGGTTGGGTGGGTCTTTAAGCTGTATAGCTCTCTGGCAGCATCCTTTATTCTCCAAGAGGAGGATAGAGTGTGTAAGACTGACATTTTGTACCCACTGAGTTTTCACCCCTTTAAAGGAGTCTTCCCCTGAAGTGTAAGGAGAAGCAGATGGGGATGAGAAAAATCTGCATATTTTATTATGCATTGCACATTTTACTTATTAGAATTTTTAGTTTGACACCTTGCATTTTTAAAAAGCTTCAAGATGCAAACAAAATGAAATTATTCATCGAAATATTTAAATCACCTTACCCCAATTACATCAAAATACCAATGAAATCCAACAGCCTGGCGGGTAGATTCCCCTTGACTTTCAAAACGAGGCTCTCTCCCTCAAAAAGGAAGAAGTGCTTGCTCTGAGAGGAGGTCAGGCAGGAAATGCACCCATGGTGAGGTCAAGTGGAGGGAGATGGCAGTGGGAGGAGGGCAAGTGACACACCCAGGCATTCTCCTGCTGAGAAAGGAGAGCCCGGTGAGGAGATCAGGACCCAGGTGCCCAGGTGCTTCTTCTGTCGCCCGTCTCTGCCTCCCGCAGCTGAGGGACCATCCCCTCCTGGCCTTGCCCTCACTCCACAGAGAGCACATGAGGATTAACAAGCCACGGTGGGGAGCCTCATGGAACTGTGTAAAAGCTAGGGCGAGGTAAAATGATTGTGAATCTTAGACACAGCATGCTTCTTACTTTAAAGGTAATGTTAATGACCAATATCAATTAACCAAAGTGTATAAGAGATTTTCAAAAAATACTGAAGTCCCAATCCCACACCCCAGTGACATCTCTTAGACTTGTATCCTAAGGACAGGAGGAGTTCTTTTAGTTCATCCACTTTGGCCTCCCATTTAACACTCAAATCCCCTATCCCAGGGGGTAGGCAAACTGCGGCTTGTGAGCCACATGCCGCTCTTTGGCCCCTTGAATGTGGCTCTTCCACAAAATACCAGGGCCTGGGCGAGTCTATTTTGAAGATGTGGCGTTAGAAGAAGTTTACATTTAAAAAATGTGGCTCTCAAAAGAAATTTCCGTCGTTGTACTGTTGATATTTGGCTCTGCGGACTAATGAGTTTGCCTACCACTGCCCCATCCTCAGAAATGGTTGTGCCGTTTGAAGCCGAGCGCAGTGGAAGGAGCAAGGGTTCCAGAATCCGACGGACCTGGAGCAGATCCTAGCTCCTCCGCCCATCGTCTCCTTCACCCAGAACAAGTCACCCAATGTCACATTTCCATTTCCTCATCTGTGTGCCATGAACAACACCAACATTGCAGCGCTGTGAGCATTAGAAATGACATTGTTAAAAGATACTTGCCAACCACAACGAAGAGCTGAGTCACAAGCCTTAGATTCTGTCCACATGAAAGAAGCCTGGGGCTGTGTCCATAGCTTCTTTGGACATGCTAATACCCTACAAGTACATTTCACAGTCTTCCCTGCTCTTTTCCATCCTACATGGGAAAGGGAGCACTACTAGCTGAGGAAGGAAAGCTGCGTCATGAAAACTATATTGTCAGATACTGAATTGAAAGGTTACGTCTCTAATTGTAGTATAAATGATTGCATAAGTAGGGGTGTGGAAAGGAGTGATAAGGTATGAAACAGGAAATAAAGTGGGAAATGGTAAAAGGGGCCAGAACCTGTGGAGCTCCATTGGCCATTGTAAGGATTTTGAGTTTTATTACCAGTATAATGGAGTTCATTAAAGTATATTAAACACGTGACCTGATTTATGGGCTTTAAGAGCTCGTTTCTGACTTCTGTGCAGAGGGTTGACTATAGATTGGAAGCAGGAAGGGCATCTAGGCTATTGCCTTGCAATCATGGCTACAACTAATAAAATGTCAGGGATGGAGAGAAATGGACAGGTTTGACATGCAGTTTGAAAGAAACATTTGAAAGACCTCCATGGAAACAGCAGAGGCTTGCTGATTGGTTGGCAATGAGAGAAAGCGAGGCATGAAGGATGACTCCTAGGTTTTTTATTTAAGAGGATGGTTGGTGGTGCTATTTGCTGAGATGAAGAAAAATGGGGGAGGAATGAATTTGGTGGAGGTCGGGGTGGATGGTCGGGAGTTTTGTTTGGATAAGTTAGGTTTGAAGCCAGACATCTGAGTGGATTTGCCAAGTGTGTTGGACAGACTAATTTGGTACTCAGGGCTGAAGATATAAGTTGGGGAGTCGTCAGCATATAGGTGGTATTTTAGCCAAAGGACTAGATGAGTTCACTTAGGAAAAAAATAAGTTAATTTTTTTAATTTAAATTTTAAGGAGTTTTAAATTGTAAAAATTGTTAGAAAAAAGAAGTGGGAGGAATAAACCACAGAGTACAGTGACATTTAAAAGCTCAGCAGAGGAAGAAGAAGCAGAAGAAAAGCCTGAGAGAGAAGCTGAGAAAGTGCGATGTTATGGGAGCCAAGAGAAGAAAGTGTTCCAGGAAAGAGAGAGTTGTCAACGTGGGTTGGCTTGAATGCAACTTGAGTCATAAAGTAAGCTGAGGACAGAGGCATACACTACAGGGTTTTGTGGAGCTGGTTGGTGACCTTGAAAATATAATACGTAGTAGAATGATGGAGTTGGAAGTCAGAATGGGATGGCTGGGGAGGAGTAGGAGTTGATAAATTAATGACAGTGATGTTTTGCTGAAAAGGGGAACAGAGAAATGGAGAGGTAGCTAGAGAGGATGCCAGTGTAAGGTTTTGCTTTATTTCATTGTGTTTTAAATAGGAGACTCTGATGCATGTTTATTAAATGCCAGTGGGAATAAAGTAGGAGAGAGAAAGAGAGAGAGAGGAGAGAGAGGAGGGGGGAGAAAAAGAGAGAGAGAGAGAGAGAGAGAGAGAGAGAGAGAGAGAGAGAGAGAGAAGTTGATGATGGAGAGAAGAAAGTAGATGAAGGCAGGATCAGAGTCCTTGAGGAAGGAGACCCAGAACTCAGTGGAAACCACGGACTCCCATGGGAACAGCAGGCAGTGATGGAATGTGGGTAACTCTGTGGATTTGGTGTCAGCAAGGAGAGTGACCCTGTCAGCTTCCTTCCATTGTTCTCAATGAACTGTGGCTTCAGGTCATCTTTTGAGAATGAGCTAGGACTTCTGAATCCTGAGTTCAAATGCACTGTCTTTTACTTACAGTTTGGCACACTTGGAACAAATGAAATGCAACCACTTTTGTATAATTTTCTTTAAAGAGCTATCAATGATAAAGCAATTCACATTTATTCTTCATTTGATACTTTATCCGGAATTATTCAAGTTCCCAACAGAGAATAGAATTCGCATGGTTTGTTTAATTGAAGACACGTAGATGAAGAAGCTAGTTACAGAGATAAAGTAGAATTAACAGATGTTGCCCCCAGAGATTGACAGCAGCCACAAGTCATTGCTAGTCTTAGGGCCAGAGGGCCAAGGCCAGGGCCAAGAGCCAAGGAGATGAGCAGTGCTAGATCCCAAGGGAAGCTGGGGTCACGAGGGGCCAACAGCAGGATGGTCCATGGGAGAGACCTGCAGCCCCTTTCAGGGAAGTGGTGCGGAGCAGAGAAGGGAGGGCAAAGACATGGCCTGTCTTCCCTTTTCCCATCTCTTGCTGATGCTTCCTCCTGGCCGAGCACAGCTGGAAGCTATCTGGCCCTGGTGATGCAGTCCATGGTGAAGGACAGAGAGCAGGTCAGGCAGCAAAGGACCGGCACAGTCCCTAGTACCTCATGCCATCACTATTGAAAAGATTTTGAAAACCACTCCAAGAGAAATCTTTATACCCAATGCCAGTGTATAGAATGCATCTTATTATTTGACATCAGCTGGGCTTTGGAAAACCTAGCTAACCATGTGTTTGGATATAAAGCATCATGGACCCTTATAACTCACCCATAATCTCCAAATGCAATGTCTTCCTCCTTTATTGTCAGGCAGAGGCCTCCTGCCCATAAAACGAGGGGAGCTTGTTTCAGGACTCCTCCGCGGCCATGGGAAAGTCCGCGCCATGTATTCAGATGGTCATGTTTTGGCCAGTTCCAAAAGGAAGGCATTTTAACTGACATCTATGAACACTGTACTTTGTGGACTGTGACCCTGGGAAGGACCCCCATCATGTGTGCTTTGGGTCCCACAAATCCTGGATCTGCTTCTGCTTTCAGGTACACTGATGCAAATGTTATCCCTTTCCCAATATTCTACCACCTCCCGGTGGGTGGATAATGGGCATCAAAATGGACATTTTGCGAAGGGGAGAATACAGCAGGAGGATGAAAAAAGCAAGGCAGGGAGGGAGTGTGGCGCCAGAGGCAGCGAGAGAAAAGCACTGTGCCTGGAGACCCCTGTTGGGCCACACCGTCCTGTGATGGCGGGTGGTCATGGCTGGTTTCTCTCTGGGGCCTCACTCAGCTGTTGCTCTCTCTGTTGCAGATGCAGATGGAAACCTGTGTCGAAGTAACCAACTGCTGCAAGTCGTGCTGACCATGCACCGAGTTATCATTTCCTCCGCGGAGCTGCTCCGGAAAGTGATCATCCTATATCCTTTCAGCAGCCCCCCTGCAGCCCCAGGCAGGAGCGCTCAGAGGAGCTGAAATCGGAAGTGTGCTTTAATTTGGTTGGTTTGGAATAATTCTGAGTGGTAAATGGGTTCACATGTCACATGTCCTTTCAGGGGCACGGTGTGTGTGTGTGTGTGTGTGTGTGTGTGTGTGTACATACATGTGTATGTGTACCTTCGGTTGGGCAGGGCGATGCTATTGATGCTGATTGCTCGGGGAAGCAAAGAAATCAGCATGCAAACAGTCTTCTCTGGCTCGTAACAAAACTTTTCTTGTAGACTCATTCAACTTCACAGTCGCCCTGTGCAGGTTGACAAGGGTGCAAGCATGACTCAAGTGATGACATGCATTCTGGCTTTTCTGACCAATTCTGGAACCTTCCCCAGGTTCTGGCCAAGGCTTCCTGGTGCCACAGCAACTGGAGTGTGCTGGTGCCTTTTGCCTTGGGCAGCAAACCCAGCTGGACTGTAACCTCCTTGTGGGGTGTGGACTGAGCGGGGTGGGGAATTGCCTGCCCTCTCCCTCCCCCTGACTGCACCGTAAGCTGTGGCCTCCAGAGAGAAGCCGTGGGTGGGTGAGACTGTTTAGCACCCGAAGCCCAGATCCCTGTCTCTGAGTCATGACTTGCAGCTCTTCTCATCTTCACCACCTCTCCTGGCCCTACCTTTTCACCTTATGGCAGGTGCGCACTCACACACACACACCACTCACACTCACACACATATACTCACACTCACACACACACACTCACACATACACACTAACCCACACCCATCGGGACCGAATCCCTTTTCTATACCCACTTATATGTCTTTGTTTTAAATAATTATTTATTTTTGAAAGTATTAAGTATGTATGTCCCCTTTGTTCCCCCGTTAACTCCCTCCAGCCGGCCCCCACTCCACTTACATATCTGTACCTCTCCTCTCAGAGGAGGTGTCTCCAGGGCCCTCCAAGGGCGGGGCCTTGGGAGGGGTTCACGCCATCAGAGTGCAGGTAATAAGTGGTGTCTCGTCTGCAGAGAATTTTAAAACCGTAATAAAACCGACTCAGAGTTGGTCTGCTTTTTATTAACTCCAAGTATCAGCAATTCCAAACAGTGCCAGGGATTAAGTATTTCTCACTGGAAAAATTGTTTGTTGCTCTAAGGATTAGATTGTACCTGAGATGCCCACCCACACAGCGAACGGGCGCCTCTCCCCTTCCCCCCTTCCTGCCCCTGGTCACAGAATCCACCCCATCAGTGACCTCTCCTCTCCTGTCCTCTTAAACTGCCCCGTCAGTGGCACCTGACCCTCAGCCTAAAACACATGGAAATGCCTCCTACCTAAAAATAAACCCTCAGCCCCACCTCCCCTTCATTCCATTGTTAGGGTTAGAAATGTGATGTGCAAGCTTCTTAAAATAGTCTGCACCCGCTATCTTAGATCTCCCCGCTCCCTCCCACTCCTCATTCAGCCATGGCCCCCACCCCTGCACTCAGACTTTCCTCTGATGTCACCGGCAGCCTCCCAATGGCTTTTTTCCGTGTCTCAGTTCACGCTGAGCTCCCAGAAGCCCTGGGCTCTGCTGACACCGCTGCCTCTGTAAGCCTGCCCTCCAGGGCTCCCCCTCCTCCCCGGCACCCCTCCAGCTTCCCACCCAGCACCTTCTCTGAGGGCCTCTGAACCACCGGAAGAGCATCCTGGTGGTTCTCTCAGCTCTTCCTTCCCTGGGCAATGTCTCACCAGGATTTTCACCGCCATTCCTCTGTGTTGATGACTTTAAAGTCTATATGTCTCTAACCCAAGTCATTTCTTTAAAAAGTGTGGACTAGTTTGTCCTGTAGGGACATCAATTTTAATATGTTCAAAACTTTACTCATTAACTCACCACTCCCTCTCCCCAACTACCACCCCGTTAATTCTGCTTTAACACCTGTATTTTCACTTTCAGTTTCAGTTAATGGTGTCATCACCCACTCAGTGGCCTAAACCACATCAGAAGCACCCTCAACTCCTTCCTGCCTCTCACCTCTTTCAGACCATCACCCAATCCCAGGGTTCTGACTTCAGAAATGACTCTCATCTGGTCTCTCCTCTGCATTTCCATGCCAGGGCTGGCTTTGGTCCCAGGGTTTTCTCACCTGTGTGCCTTCTCTCCCTGCGCGCCCTCCTCCCCCTCATTGTCATCTTCTGAAGTTACTTTCCTAAGAAGGGGTAGCCTTTGCTTCCGGCAGGCGTCCTCAAACTTTTTAAGGTGGGGGCCAGATCACGGTCCCTCAGAGAGCTGGAGGGCCGGACTATATGAACTACTAATTCCTACTGTAACACCTCGGCTGCGCTCACTGCCCAAAAAACCTGGCGGGCCGGATCAGACTCCTCTGTGGGCTGCATGTGGCCCGCAAGGCCTTAGTTTGAAGACCCCTGCTTCAGAGCCTCTGCCCACTAGGGGGCTGACATCAGACTCCTCAGTTGTCAGGAGACGGCCCTCCAGGGTCTGAGCCAATTCAGTGTCTCTCCTGCTTTGTCCTACAGCTCCCAGAAACCCTTCCTGTCCAGCCAGTGTGGTTCAGCAGTTGGGCATGGACCCAGGAACCAAGAGGTCCCTGCTTTGATTTCTGGTCAGGGCACATGCTTCGTTTGTGGGCTCCATCCCCAGTAGGAGTGTGCAGGAGGCAACCAATCAATATTTCTCTCATCGATGTTTCTTTTCTTCTTCTTTTTTTAAAATATATTTTATTGATTTTTTTACTGAGAGGAAAGGAGAGAGATAGGGAGCTAGAAACGTCGACGAGAGAGCAACACTGACCTTGTACACCCCCTACTGGGGATGTGCCCACAACCTACGTACATGCCCTTGACCGGAATCGAACCTGGGACCTTTCAGTCTGTAGACCGATGCTCTACCACTGAGCCAAACCGGTTTCGGCTCATCGATGTTTCTATCACTCTCTCCCTTCCTCTCTCTCTTTAAAATAAAAATAATAATAATTTTTAAATAAACCTTTTCCCCTCCACTCTGAGCTTCTCAAATGCCCCAACTGTCATGGGTCCTCACCCAGTTCCTGGTCTGGAGAGCCTTTTCCTTGCTGCAAGCCTAGCAAATTCTTTTCTGACCCTCTGAAATCTTTCCTGAGCTCTCCACCCCCTTCCCCTTGGAAAATACATCTAGTGCCAGTGATGTGCAAACCTATTTAATTCCGGTGTCTCTCGTTCTGTATCATGTAATTGGTCAGTGTCTCTCTCGTGTGTGTCTGCCTGGGTGTCATCTCATCTGCTTTGAGGGGCTTTTCTTTCCGTTCCTTTAACTAAGTACATTGATCTGCCTGGACTTCAGTTTGCAACTTTTGAGTAATACCTATATTCTCTTGTATTTATAGATGACATTTAAGGAAAACTCAAAACCTTTGGTCTAGTTGCTGTCCTTTGAATTGTGTTAGTAATATGGAATTTTGCACGAGGGTATTGAAAAATTAAGTTACAAGTTACTTTAAGAGAAAATAAATATAGTTTTAACCTATATACACACGCCATATTGTAACTTACCTATTTATGAATTGTCTCCCCCAGAAACTGTGTGTCTCCCTCAAGGGCAGGAACCAAAGGCGTATTTTTCTTCTTGGTTTCTCTAGAACTTAGCTAAGTGGCTGTCTCATGCTAGAGCTCGATGAATGTCGTACTGTTGTGGATGCAAAACACTGAGATACTTTTCCTGTGTCTGTCAGGACCTTTAAGTGAGAAACCTGGGCTTTGCTCAAGTCTGGGGTCAGGGGAGGGATTCTAAGAAGGGAATACAAAGTAAGATCTTCTGTCATTGAGACCCAGGTTAAATATTAAAAGCAAAACTATTTTGTCTTCACAGTTAGTTCACCTGTTCTGGCTTGGAGGTAATAGAATTGTTAATAAAATAAGCTCAGATTGTTTCTTGCTTTTCCATTGTTTAGAAGAGAGAGGAAGAAGAAACAAAACAAACAAACATGCTTTGAATAGTTCAGATGCCTGAAGAGCTCAGTCAGAACTGCCCTGGTACTTCCCAGGCACAGGATCATCCGGGAAGGGAAGGAAGAGGGGTGGGGCCTGAACTGTCAGCAACAGGGACCTTCACCAGGTTGCAGGTGCCCAAGCCTCTGGTTGCTGGCCTGTGTCATCAGCATTGGCTTCCAGCTCCAAAGTGAGAAAGCGGTGCCCTGCCTCACCTTGGGCCTCCTTTGCCATGCATCGGGGCTCTGATGGCCTTGGGAGGCCCTGCCATCCGGCCTGGCACCCCGCATGCCCACAGAGGCTCAGCCCCGGCCTGTACCACTGGGCTTGCAGACGCTGCCCGCCCCCCATTTGAAGAGGATAAGAAACCACCAGAGGAAGGTCAACTTCACATAAAGGGCACCATGTTGATTTATATGTCCGTTTAGTTATTTTAAAATAGGTTGGTTTTTGTGCCTTCCTTATTAAAAAGGAAGAATAAAAATTTCGCCAAAACTGGTTTAGCTCAGCGGATAGAGCGATGGCCTGCAGACTGAAGGGTGCCGGGTTTGATTCCGGTCAGGGGCATGTGACTTGGTTGCGGGCACATCCCCTGTAGGGGGTGTGCAAGAGGCAGCTGATGGATGATTCTCTCTCACCAATCTTTCTAACTCTTTATCCCTCTCTGTAAAAAAAAATCAATAAAATATATATTTTTTTAATTTCAACAAGTTGGTCAAATAATGAAAATATAGAATCTAAGACATATCTATCTAAAATGTGCCTTCTGCGTGACCCTCTTTGCATTCAGGGAATGCATTTTCTTTCTTTTATATATATATGTATTTTTATTAATTTTTTACAGAGAGGAAGGGAGAGGAATAGAGGACTAGAAACATCGATGAAAGAGAAACATCGACCAGCTGCCTCTTGTACACCCCCCACCGGGGTTGCGCCCACAACCAATATACATGCCCTTGACCCGAATCGAACCTGGGACCTTTCAGTCCCCAGACCAACGCTCTATCTACTGAGCCAAACCGGTTTTGGCAGGGGATGCATTTTCTTAGCGATGTGGCATTAAGACATGTAAAGTCACCTCATTCCCACTTCTACCTTTTAGGCCCAAAGGAAGGCTGGTGTCCAAACCTGTTACTTCATGAAGTTTGCCAATTGGCCAGGCTTATTTTAATCTCTATTTCATTTGTCAATGTGGGTGTGGTTCTGTTTTGATGCCGTCAAAGACAGATTTTATAAGCAGTAAACCTATTTAAATAAGTTTTGAAAATTAAAGTAATTCTATTGAAAGTACAAATTTCACAACCATAGTATTTTTTTTAGGGACCCGATTTTAAGCTTACAAGTTGTATTCTTTCTATAAGTCTCACATGTTCCACCAAATATTTTTAAGGGACCTTGAAAATGTTTTGGTTAATTTGGAAAATGCTCATTAAATACTCCCGATGGTTTTAAACAATTATGAATTTTACATTTTAGTTTACTTTTAAAGACTTCAGAGGCTCCCCTGAATTCGAAATAGTTTTTATAACTCTAGTAGATTAAAGTTATAAACAGGAAAGCCAACATTATCTTAGATGTGCCAAAGCAATGCATAAACTTAATAAGATTTCAAGTTAAAACCACAATTAATTATATATTCCAAATTGGAGTTTCCATGCTATCATTCTAATATACTCTTAAACTTTATAGGCATATAAAATCTCAAAATGCACAGATGCCTTCCTAATAAAAACATCAATAATGTGTTTTGGGCTGTCTTTTACTTGGCTGTAGTTAACTCTGAGTTTCGCAGGGGATACAGTATGCCCTCCCACTGAAGGAAGGCTGCTCCCGTCTGGTTATTTGAGATCTCTGCTGGCTTCTCCCTGGGTTCATTTCAGGGGCCCGGCTGCAGGTGAGGCCTAGATGGCCATTATGGAACAGTTTTTATTGATAGATGAGAAGAGGCAGAGTCTTGCAGGGCACACAGCCGACATGGCCTGCTTGCTCATTCTGTTTGTGGAAGATGGTAGGGCCTGCCCGGGTTCATCACTGGATTGGATTTTGCATTTCTTTTAAGTGGATATTTTTTCCATCTAAGCTCTAAAGCAGCAATTTTCAACCAATGTGCTTCAAGACTTTTTAAAACATACAATACCTGACTACTTAGCTAGGAGCTCTGACTTCTGTTTCCTTAGATTGTCAAACAAACAAACAAAAAATGACAATAGCCAGCACAACAATAATTGTCCAGTGTAAATGAATTAAAATTATACCTTTTTATTTGTCAAATTGGCAAAACAATATATTTTTTGGTGCACTGCAGAATTTTAGTAATCAGTTCATGTGTACCATGGGATGAAAAAGGTTGACAATCGCTGCTCTTTAACATGTGAACTTGATGGAATCTGCTCTTCTTTCATATTCTTAGGATGGCACCATTTCCTGGAATATTCCAGGTGGTATGGATCCTTAACATGTCTCTGATTGTATTTTGGCTTTATTCACATTAGTCACATGGCTTTGTCCAACTTGTCATCCTACTTACAAGGTCAACCTACTAACATCCTGTAGGCATATATTGTCATTTTCCTATTTATGTCATGGCACTAGATCTGAATACTTATTCCTTCCCCCTCTTCTCTAATCCACTGCACAAATTGTTTACCAGTTACTTGAAGCATTGTATACGATGAGAAAGGGCTGCTCTCTTTAGCTGGTCTCATTGGACTCCTGGTCTCAGGCAGGAGCTCATTGCTGCTCTGGCACTTCTTATAACGATAGTTACCTGTGCAGGCCTCTCCCTGCCATGCACTTCCTAGCTCTACTTCTGCAGAGGAGACACTGTGGCCGCCTTCCACCGCCATTTCAGTGTGAGCACACACCAAGTTGATTTTTATCTTTGGCCAGAGAGATAAGAAAACATTTTTCTTTGAAGATTATTTCGGGAGGGGGTTGGTTTTAGCAAACAACTTCCCCAGATGAGAAGCTGTTTGGTTGCTATAGCAGAAGCTCCATTTGCCTTAACCACCGCCCACATATAAGGATGCCTGGGCCAAGAAGTCACCAGGGCTGTGCCTGAAGATCTGCTACTTTGTAAGGTAAGGATTCTGCATGCATTTGGGTCTTTGTGGCTTGGGGTGAAGGAAAAGACTGCAGCAAGGTGAGCTAGTTTTTTCCCATGCCCCTGCCTTCCCCTTCCTGACTGTCTTCCTGCGGGTCACGTCTGGGCAGCCTGGGAGAGCGGGCGTTTTTCCTGGTGTGCCTGAGCTTAATGTTGTAGGCCAACACTTCCCTCAGTTCACAGTTTTTTGGTATCAAAGGACATGGGGAGAGGTTATCTTGTTTGTTTTTAATCTGAATCATAAAAGTAATATAGCTCCTATCAGTGCATTTTGAAAATACAGAAAAGAATATAACTATAGTAACAATCTCTCATATCCAACTACCTGTTTTGGCATTTTTTTCTTTGTCTTTTTTCTGAGCAGATTTTTTAATCATAGTTGCAATTAAAAAACAAAGTTTTCTATCCTATTGTTCTCTCTTAACTTTAATATCATTGAAAGTGTCTTTAGTCATGAAAAACTTTTGTAAGTATTATTTTTAATGGCCATGTAATAGTCTGAGACCTGGTAAAGTGTAATCTACACATACATGCCCACCTTGTGACCTTCGGCTTGTCTGTAGTTGCCTAATTTATGCTTATCTCTGATGTGCATAGCTGTGCCTAGACCTGCCTTGGCTATGAGACACCTTATCCTATCCAAGCCTTTAACACGAGGAGGGGCAGAGAGCTGTAAAGAGGTGGTTTGTTTGTTTGTTTTTCCCCTCCCCACTTCCCTGCCCCCACTCGTTATGTTCTATGTTAAGAATATATATTCCAGCTGAAACCGGTTTGGCTCAGTGGTAGAGCGTCGGTCTGCGGACTGAAAGGTCCCAGGTTTAATTCCGGTCAAGGGCATGTACATTGGTTGCAGGCACATCCCCGGCAGGAGGTGTGCAAGAGGCAGCTGGTCGATGTTTCTCTCTCATCGACATTTCTAGCTCACTCTCTCTCTCCCTTCCTCTCTGTAAAAAATCAATAAAATATATTTTTTTAAAAAAGAAGAAGAAGAAGAAGAACATATATTCTAGCCTGACCTGTTTGGCTCGGTGGATAGAGCATCGGCCTGTGGACTGAAGGGTCCCAGGTTTGATTCCGGTCAAGGGCAGGTACCTTGGTTTTGGGCACATCCCTGGTGGGGGGTGTGCAGGAGGCAGCTGGTCAATGTTTCTCTCTCATCAATGTTTCTGACTCTCTCTCCGTCTCCCTTCCTCTCTGTAAAAAGTGAATAAAATATTTTTTTAAAAGAAAAGAACATATATTCCATGTTCCCAGGAATATAGAAAGGCAAACCCACCTGTCTTTTTGTCAGTCCTCTTTGAGGGAAGGACACACCAAAGTGACCTTGCCTTCCGCTTTGGCCTGTGTTCTACCCCCCCCTCCCCCCATGCAGGTATTGGATAACGGAATTCTGGACCATGTTCAAAATGGATGCCACCTTGACAAACACCATGGAGGAGTTTCAGGAGCTGGTGAAGGCTAGTGGGGAGGAGTTACACTGCCGCCTGATCGACACAACTCAAATGTGAGTGCCAGGGTGTAGAGGCATCTCTGCTCCGCTGGCCCTGACACCCACCTGGTGTGGCTGTGGCTGTGGCTGTGGCTGTGGCTCTCCCGCTGGGAGCGGCCCCTCACACAGGCAGGTTCAAACCACCTCACCAAGTGAAAAGCTTGACATTTGACAAGCAAGCAGAGATGCCCTGGTGGTAAAGCTGTGGGTGACTAATACGAGCAGAAACCATGTAAGGCCCAGTCAGAAAGAAATCGGGTAGCAAGACAGTGACTAAAACGTGCCCAGGTTGTGAGAAACTGAAAGCACGGTGTCTACACGCACGCAGGACCACGGGGCGGCAGCTAATGCCTGGAGGCCCCTGAACTTGAAAATGGGGAAGGATGGCTGACGGCGTATTGAACAGAGGGCGTCTGGCCTGTGGAGTCTGTGAAAGACACGTGGACTTCGGGAAATGGAGAGATCGCAGGGATATTTCCCATTACCTCCTGGATTTCTTATTTATGAGGTCAACCCACTCTGGAAATACAGGGCAGGGTAGGGTGCACACACTGCATACTAAAATTTTCACAGGGTGGCCACTTTATTTCCCAATAGTGCAGATCCTTAGAATATAGAATTCTGGAACTGAAAGGAATTCTAGAGATGGTTTCATCCAACATCCCAGGAAACAGACTCAGCAAGGCTGTCTGGCTCATCTGGGGTCACAGAATGCTAAGCTCGTGGCCGGACACAAGCTCAGTACACTGGGTCATAGCCGTGCAGAAAGGTAAACGTCACATGTCATAGTCCCCAATACATCAGTTTGTCACTTTAGACTCTCTGGACCTCTACTTAGAATAATACAACTCAAAAGATACAAGAGGCCAAAACCAGTTTGGCTCAGTGGATAGGTCCCAGGTTCGATTCCGGTCAAGGGCATGTACCTTGGTTGCAGGCACATCCCCAGTAGGGGGTGTGCAAGAGGTAGCTGATTGATGATTCTCTCTCATGGATGTTTCTAGCTCTCTATCCCTCTCTCTTCCTCTCTGTAAAAAATCAATAAAATATATATATTTTTTAAATACAAGAGATTTTCAAGTAACAATTCCCTCATTTTAAAGATGCAGAACCTAGGCCCCAGGGCACTTCTCAAACCTTAATCTCCTTGTCCCAATGCACTGCCAGTGTGACTTTTCTCTACCAGTGTCTCCGGGGCTGTTCTTTAGGAATTAGTCAGTGAGATATAGCCTCACCAGATACATTTGAGAAAGAGTGAGTTAAACTTGCAAAATTTGCAGTGCGTCTCAGAGGCTGTAAATGTTCATTGGACAACAGGCTGCAGACTTTGTAGCATCCCCCACACTCATTTGGCCACCAAGCTCTCTGTAGAGAGAGACGGGGTTCCCAGGAATACCAGTTTGGGAAACACACATCTGCAACCTGCTACCTTACAAAGGCTTTTCCCCTTTGCTTCCTTAGTGTAGGAAACAAGCTGAATCAGACACACACGCGTTAGTTACAAGAAAATAGGGGGGTTGTGGGGGGAGGGGAGAGCGCAGGCTCTCTTGGGGACTCAGCTGGGAAGTGGAGGGAAATGCCAGCAGTCACTCAGAGTGTTCCTCCCCATGACCCCTGCAGCATGACCCCTCACCATGGTTCTCTGTGCCCTTCCACCATCTTGAGATTTCCAACCAGTTAGAGTCCCTATGACCCTTATGAGAACGATGGGCACTGAGGAGGCATGGAGAGAGCAGACGTGCCGGGACTGAAGACCAGGAAACTGGGGCAGTGCCTGAGCCCTATTTCCCACGGCCTTAAGCCCCTTTCCCCCAGTCCCCATGTGCATTGTAAAGATTCACAGGAAGCAAGCCAGGCTTCCTAGTTGCTGCCATAGAAGAAGTTGATTTGGGAAAACTGTTGATGCATAGTTTTGGCCAAGGAAAGTGAGCTAATGGTTCTTTGTATAAGCTCGTGCAAAACTGGACTGACTTGTATTCAAAGGCAATTTTGATGTATTCTTTTCCCCCTTCTCTCTTTCACGTTTACCCACAAAAGCAACGCCCGTGACTGGTCCAGGAAACTTACTCAAAGGATAAAATCGAACACCAGCAAGAAACGGAAAGTCTCCCTGCTCTTTGACCACCTGGAACCGGAAGAGCTGTCGGAGCACCTCACCTACCTGGAGTTCAAGTCCTTCCGGAGGATCTCCGTAAGTTCCCAAGGGACAGGAGAAAGCTTCCCTGGGACAGCTGGGGCATTTCTGCAGAGAAACAGCAGCCCCTGCACCTCCTAACCCCCGAGGCCCTCTGCTGGTGGGCCTTCCCGTTAGATTCTGTACCATCCAAAGAGCCAGTGCCCTGAATTCCTGGGTGGTCCCTCCCCCTCCATCCTCCATGCCCACCCCTCCCCCCCAAGTGACATACAGTGGGCACATCTATAGTGTGTATACACACACACACACACACACACACACACACACGCTTTTTAACCCTGTGTATCATTAGGTTGCCAGAAATTTTATCGTCTCATTTTCCTCCCTCCAAAATGGAGCTATCCTCTAAGACACATGTGTCAAACACAAGGCCCGTGGGCCAAATCCGTCCCGCCAGGCCTTGCAATGTGGCCCGCACCATGCTGTCATCACTGCACTCCGCTGCGTTTCCATCACAATGACAGTTTATGACTGTTCAGTAAACCATTCGGCCCACAATTTAGGCTGGATTTTAGATTTTGGCCCCTTCTCTGATTGAGTTCGACACCCCTACTCTAAGACTTTGAGTTCATTCTAGGGTAGGTCTGAATGGCTGTGGAACATGCCAAAATAAAGTAGATGCTACTGGTCCAGCCCAGAATATACCTAAGCCCATGAAGTGGCACTGACATGGCCCAGCCATTGCTGATGATTCTAGAGATACACTTTGCTGACCCAAACTTGCTCCTTACATCTCCATAATGATGCCAAAGCACACTGGTGCCACACGAGACAGCTTGACTGCACGCAGGTGCCACCGACCCTCACTGACCAATATGCTTTCCTGGGGAACGGCACCTTTAACCTGCCCTACCCAAAAATGGTCTCCAGCTTTGCTCTCAGTCTCTTGTTGCTGGACTCGTTTTGTAGAGTGACAGGGTGACCAGGGTTTCCCAGATGAGGGGATGGAGGCCTGGAGATTAAGAACTGGGGCTGGAATTACATGCCTGTCTGTCACTCAGCACCAACTTACTCAGTCTGATACTATTTGTTGTTGTTGTTTTTTTGTGTGTGTTTATTTATTAATCTTCACCTGAGGATATTTTTTCTATTGATTTTTATAAAGGGGGAGGGGGAAGGGAGACAGAGAGAAACATCCATGTGAGAGAGACACATCGATTGGTTGCCTCCTGCATGTGCCCCAATCAGGACCAGAGATAGAGCCTGCAACTGAGGTGCATGCCCTTGGCTGGAATCGAACCTAGGACCCTTCAGTCTGTGGGCCGACACTCTAACCACACTAGCCAACCCCGCTAGGTAGAGCCTGGTTCTACTTGAAAGGAGTCCCGCAGCCAGGTGACAGACGTTATTTCATCTTTCTCCCATCATGTTGACATCTGCCTTTACACAGCTGTCTGCCAGCCAGGAACCTCCCAGCTCCCTTTTGGAAATAGTCTTCCAGCGTGAAGACTCTGCACTGGCCCCGGACCCCTCAAGGCACCCCTGACAGAACCAGGGGACTTGCTGGAGGCCCCAGCTGGGGAGTTTCCATTTGGCAGTGCCTTCCCATCATGAGAGGGACACTGAAAGGAGCCATTCTCAGACTGAAAATTGCGCTGCTCCGGGCCCAGCTGGCAGGGCTGCTCGGCCCAGGAATGAGAGCCTGTGCTCCCGGGGTTGTTTGCAGTGGAGCACAGCATTTGGAAGCCTCCTGGCTGTTGAATGGTACAGCCCCTCAGAGAAGACGGCTGCCTGGGGTCTTTGTTCTTCATGCACAGCTCTAAGCAGTTTCCCAGCCAGCAGTCTCCCCTCAGACATGGACCAGAAGGAGATGGCTCCCTGCTGTGAACTGATGGCATTTGCTATTTCCTGTTTATTGTCATACTTGGGGTGAGAGGAGCGAGATTACTGGGATAATTCTTTTAAAAAACAAGTAAATTTGGTGTTATTTATAGTGGGAGGAATATACAAATGAATTCACTGGAATGAGTCACGGGAATTTTCTGTTAGAACCAGGAAGATTTTTGCCTCGTGTGTGTCTCCTAAGGAGTAGTTTTGGTCCTACTCAGAGTTTTCACCCTGAGTCATCACAGCACCGTGAAATAGGCTCTGCTCATTTGCATTTATTTTATTTAGGTTGTTTCTCATCAGCATACTCCTAGTCAGGCCGGACTAAAGTTACTCCATACTAAAGTAACCCCCTGCTCCTCCCTCACAATCCCGTGGCCCGACAAAGCAAAAGTGTGTCTTTCACTCACACGACATATGTAACATGGGTCTCGCAGGGACCCAGATGCGGAAGGCTTCATCTTACACAGCTTCTGCAGCTGTGGACCGGCAGCATGGCGGATGGTTCAGTGGCTCTTACACCTTTCCCTCAAAAGTCCCATCACTTCCACTCCCATGCTGCTGGCCCAGCTCTGAATACATGGTGAGCAGTGCCAAACGTCCAGAGGAGCGCTGGAGCAGGCAGGCAGGTGCCACCTCCCTTTGGTTATCCTGTGGGGCAGGATTGTAGGGGGTGAGGCCACGATAGCTCCAGTCGCCGCTTCTACAGCTGTCTCTGGCACCTGTTTCACATGTGCTGTTTGTCAACCACAGTCAGTGCTGTTGTCCACTTGGGAAACTATGGTCATGGAATTGGCTAACTAGGTTTCATATACCCAACTCACTTGGCCTCGGTTCAAGTTCAAATTCCATTCAGGCAGATTTGTTTTAGCATGAAGGTAATAATTATCCCATTATTACCACCTCACATTGATGTAGCACTTGGAAAAATTAAAGTGGTTTCATACCTTATAATGTTTAATCTTCATAATTTCATGTGCTAGATAGAGCAGATATTAGCATCCCATCAAGGTAAGAAAACAGCTTGCGGAAAGGGAGGGAGAAAGGAGAGAGGAGGGAGATGGAGAACAGGGGGGAGAAAGTCTTGTGAATTCCTTTTTTCCCTTAACCTCGGCAGCAGATGTGAGATTAGTCCTGAAATTTTTATTCTATTCTTTAGAATTTAGAGGTACCAATGTCACCCAAAATACCAATGTCAACCCAAAATACAGCATTTGAATTACTCGTGTGTTGAATGAATTAGCACACATCCATGTATGCCTAATGACTTTTGGTGTAGAGACCATGCTGTGGGTAGGTTTCCTTCCCACCATTTTGGTCAGCCAAGTAGAGGACATACAGGAGAGGTGGGCTCGTCGGTCCCACAGAAGGTCCGAGCCATCAACCGATGCCCCTCCGATGCCTCAGAACACCAGAGTGGCAGTCTGATGGGGTCCTTTTCCCGCAGTTCTCTGACTATCAGAACTACGTGGTGAACAGCTGTGTGAAGGAGAACCCCACAATGGAGCGGTCCATAGCGCTGTGCAACGGCATCTCCCAGTGGGTGCAGCTGATGGTGCTCAGCCGGCCCACCCCCCAGCTCCGGGCAGAAGTCTTCATCAAGTTCATCCAGGTGGCTCAGGTGAGTGGTGGAGCCAGTGTGGCCTGGGCTGAGGTGAATTTCCCCTCCTCCCATAGCCAAGAGTCCCCCTCCTGAGCCACAGTGGGTCATATCTAGACCTCATGAACTGTCCTGAGGTCTAGATATGGCACCTTTCCTGGTTCCCACACAAGGGCACTATGGAGAGGACCAGCTCGAAGCTTGGGGTTCCATTTTAGATCTGTTTAGATATCTAACATTTCTTAGAAGGTGCTTACCAGCCTACATGGTCTTCTCAAATCTGGCCCCCATGACAAAGGAAAAGGGCAAGTCCAAGTCTTCCTGGGGCTGGAGTTGTCTTAGGTCTTCAAGCCCACAGTTAAATGTCTGAGCTGAGTTTGAGAGGCAGCATATTAAGAATTTGATAAGAGGAAACGGTACACTAAGTCCTCAATGTCATCAATAGGTACCATGATGTATAATGAAACCAGTTTTAATTAATATAAATTTATTTAGTGCGCTAGTTGACATGGCATTTCATCAACATAATAATGAAGTGATGTTGACTGAAATTCAAGGACCTGGAGTTCTATGAACACATATTTGAAATTCCTCAGAGATTCTAGGTTCTTTGTCCCAATTATTGATCAATATAGGTACTGGCACTTGTTCCTAAAAAATAAAACAGTGCAGGAGATATATAGGATTATGCTTATTTGTCCAGTACTAAATGGTCCAGTGTTCTCAAAGTATGGTACATGGACTGCCTGCTCTGATATTAACTAATGGGATATTAAAAGCTCAGATTCCTAAGCTCCACCCCAGATCCAGGCAATCAGAAAATCTGGACTTGGGTCCAGAAATCTGGTGCTGACAGACAAGTACTTTGGATGGTTCTTAGAAATCATTGATCTCGGTGGTCCAGGACCAGCACAGAGGGAGGGAGACCGACGCCTTGCCAGGCTTGGGATTCCTGGGTCTGGATTAAGCCTAAGGGGAGAGCAGGAAGCTGCAGCACTTGGTTGCTAGTGCTCGACAATGTAAGGAAGATGAGGCCCAGAGTCAGGGCGGCCTCTGAGCTCGCATTTAACAGGCATGTTCAGTGACTGTTCTCACCTGGTTTATGTGTCACAGAAGCTCCACCAACTGCAGAACTTCAATACTTTGATGGCTGTGATAGGCGGCCTGTGTCACAGCTCCATCTCCAGGCTCAAGGAGACAAGCTCACACGTCCCCCACGAAATCAACAAGGTCAGTGCTACTGTCTCTTCGGAAGCCTCAGCACATTCTGGGACAGCGCCCTTTCCTCCTCCAAGGGTAACCCAGGAAGAAGCGTTTGCCAACCACACCATCCCGTCAACCGGGCAAAATACCCAGGAGGCAAACCCCAAGGAAACGCATGGAGTGGGGATGTCACAATCAGAAAGTGCCTGTGATTCAGTCTCTCTATCGCCGCCAGTGCCCCTGCTGGTCAGGTGAAATATGTGCCTCCTTCCCATGCTTATATGCCACTGAATGTTCATTTTGTTGATAATCCTCACCAGAGCATTATTTCCATTGATTTTTTAGAGAATGGGAGGGGGAGAAACATCAATGTGAGAGACATCCTGATTGGTTGCCTCCTATACATGCCCAACCAGGGCTGGAATCAAACCCTGACCCTTCAGTCTGAGGGCCCACACTATCCACTACGCCAAACTGGCTAGGGTTGTTATTGTCTTCAATTCTGACTCACTTGCCCAGAATATTTTCCCCAAAGGACCAGTGGTTCCATCTGCATGTCAAGTACACTTAATACAGGGACACATTGAAATCCTAGCTCTCCAGATCCCTTGGAGTGACATTCTGGATAGTTGAATTTTCCCAGATGAATTGGAAATGAGCTTTTCAGGTGCCATTTTGTAACAGTGTTTCATTGAGGAATATTTTTCTCAAGTGTCCAATGCATTTTCCTACATTCTTAGATTTTACAGGACCAAAGTTAATCCTTTATAAGTCTGATATAAATATAAGGCATGATTATACTGAAGGTATCAGTGCAGCTGTGTGGTATGAGATAATTTGAGCATTTTCACCTATTTAAGAGGGCCACCCCTCCTTTCCTAGCCCCTAACCCACTCCTCCCAAGCTAGCACACACTCCCTTCTTAGTGAGAGACATCTGTGCTCGTGGCCTCGTCTGTTTCCCCAGGTGTTCAGCCTCCTTTTGGGGGTCTCCAGTGAATCACCCTGCTCTCATAACACTCGGCTATGAGGACGCTGACTCACCCCCTCCCAATGGTCTGGTCACCTCATAATTAAGTCCCTAGGAGTTCTGCTGAGACCAGCCCATGTCTCAGAGGTGGCAGAAGAAAGCCACAGAGACCATCATTTCATTTATAAGATACAAACTCGCTCCTCTTCAGCTCGGGGTCCCAACAGTGCTTCCTGTCTGTGGCTGCTGGCCCCTCAGGGTGGTACACATAATCAGTTAAGACCAGCTTAAAGCAGGTGTCCCCCAGTATTTACTTCACCTTCCAAGGAGAACAAAAATACATTATTTTGCTGTTGGTCTCTCATCTGTGAGCACCTTCCCTACTCACACGCCCCTGCACTGTTTGCTTGAGACGTGTGAGGAGGAGGTGTTGCCAGCTCAGTGGCTGAGGGAGGCTATTCCAGAACCTTGGGCTCTTCACTGGAGAGAAATGGTACTACTTAGGCCACACTTTTATTAAAAGGATCTGTGGCATAGTGTTTACAAAGGTAATTTTGTGTTGTGATGTGGTTGACAGACAATCTTGACTTCCCTTCTTTGCTTCTGAGAAAGTTGGTCAGCACAGTGGGGAACGGGGTCCTGTGAATGGCTGGCTGACCTGCGCCAGGCGGGTCAGAAAAGAACCCAGGTCGGCTGCTGCCTTTGGAGCCAGTGAGCAGCCCTGCCCCTTCCGGGGCGGGGGAGGGGTGGGTCCTCTGCCTGTCCTTTCCTGGAAATTGGTCTGGTCTATTCTGTCTCTCTGGGTCCGAGTTTCAGTGGGCAGATGGAATGTCACCTGCTTCCTAGACAAAGACCTGCGGTGAGCGTCACTGAGAGAAGGCCCAGAGAGCAGCATGAAGAGTAAACTGTGCAGGAGACTGAGGCTCTGGTGCCTTCCCAGACCAGCAGCACTGTCAGCACAGCCTGTATCACACTCCAAATGGTAAACAATGTCCTTCTGGCCTAGGACTCAGAAGACACTGGGAAAAGGAAATGCGTGGCTTAGGGACAGAGCTCAGAGGGACACACTAGTCTCTGTTCTCTTGTTCCTTTTTTACTTTCAATCAGACGCTTATATATGTTTTTGCTTTTTATATATATATATTTTATTGATTTGTTTTACAGAGAGGAAGGGAGAGGGATAGAGAGCTAGAAACATCGATGAGAGAGAAACATCGATCAGTTGCCTCCTGCACACCCCCCACTGGGGATATGCCCACAACCAAGGAACATGCCCTTGACTAGAATCGAACCCGGGATCCTTCAGTCTGCAAGCCGACGCTTTATCCGCTAAGCCAAACCGGTTTCGGCTATGTATGTTTTTAATAGAAAATTTTTAATGTAAAAGCAACAAATAAGACCTCAGTTTTCCAGTTATGTTGCAGAATCAACTAAAGCACACCTGTATTTGTAAGTACTCTCAGCCTTTTGACATAAGCTGTAGTTTGAATTGGGGATCATGATCTGCACCTTTTGGATGAATCACCTCTTCCCAACAGATTAGGGGTGGGGTGCAATCATAATAGAGACTGAAAGCAGACAATACAACCTGCCTGGCAGGTGCAGTGATGGGGTCTCCTCTTCTGCTTTTTAGGTCCTGGGTGAGATGACTGAGCTGCTGTCCTCCTGCAGAAACTATGACAACTACCGGCGAGCCTACGGGGAGTGCACCCACTTCAAGATCCCCATCCTGGGGGTGCACCTCAAGGACCTCATCTCCCTGTATGAAGCCATGCCCGACTACCTGGAGGATGGGAAGGTGAACGTCCACAAGCTGCTGGCCCTTTATAATCACATCAACGAACTGGTCCAGCTGCAAGAGGTGGCCCCGCCTTTGGAGGCCAACAAGGACCTGGTGCACCTGCTGACGGTGAGGCTCACCACTGGGTGTGTGCCAGGCATCACTCTCTGCACCTTACCGAACATTAGCCCAGCTAATCCTCATACAAACTAGGTCGTAGGTACTGCTATTATCCCCTTTTTATGGATGGGGATACGGAAGCACAAAGACATAATTTCCCAGAGGACCAGACATTAATAAGCAGCAGAGCCTGGATTCAGACCCAGGAGGTAGGACCCTAGTGGCTGTCCTCTAAAGCAGCATGCCTGACTCCTGGAAATGTTCTCCTCTTCCTGCAAAAAGTCAGTCCTCAAGCTCTCTGGGAGGAGCTGAGAGCAAATCAGGATACAGGCTTGGTAAGAGATGGGGACTAAAACAGGTTCATTATTTGATTTCTGTTCCTGGAAGTGTTCGAGCTAAGGGGAGGCAAACACTGGTGCAAGGACCAGGATCTGCACTTCAGGTGCAGGGGGAGAGCAGATGGACTCCCTTCCAGCTCAGCAACTGTGGGCACCTAACTCTAAATATCCTGTCTCCTCCTCTGTAAAATCAGGATTATTCTGTGAGATGACTTCTAACTTCTTTGAGTTCCAAAATTATACAATTTTTAATGTGCTTTTTTGGCAGAATGAAATAATTATAACCTCTTCCTACCTCACAGGATGATTCCAATGGGGCCCTGAGCTTTGCATCCAACTAGCCCTTTCTCTAAAGGCCAGGTGACCTTGGTCTTGGCCTTAGATGTCATCTGTGGAAAGATGTACAGAATCCTAACTTTGGGGGAATCACAAATTCTGTAATGAAAGCTGGATGTTGTTCCCAGAAAAAAAGATACATAACCCAAGTATTTTTGAGCTCTGAACCTCCTGAAGCCCATCCATGGACTGTAGGATCAGAACAAGATTATTTGTAAGACCTCTCTCCTCTAAAATGTTCAAGCTCTACTAAATATGGAATTTATTAACTTTGAATATGGTTTAATAATACCGTTATTTAAACTGGGTGCTGGTGCAAGAACCAAATTTTAATAGTATCAGACCATACAAATTATCCTTTCAGATTATCTGTCTGTCTGCTTTGGGGAAGAACAAGTGAGGTGTGGACCTTTTGACCAAACATGGCCTAAATTCTACATAAAGGCTTACAGGTTAAATTTTCATTTAAATGAGGGCATCTTGAGATTTGTCCAAAATTTAAAAACATTTAACAAAAAAGAATTAATGCTTGCCCCATTGCCCTACTGTGAATTTTAAAAACAAACTACTAAGAGCCTAGAAGAGTAAACCACTGGAGAGGAAGAACCAAGAAAGAAATACAATATCCTAGCAATTAATCATTGTTTCCGATCTACAGTTATCCCTCGATCTCTATTACACTGAGGATGAAATCTACGAGCTCTCCTACGCCCGGGAACCAAGGAACCACAAAGCCCCTGTGAGTTTTCCTATTCCAATTCTTGCAGGTAACAGGATCGGCCTTTTAGTTCAGTTTTATAAGAGTATTGTGTGTGTCCTTTGTGCCCCAACCTGTGCTAGGCAAAGGGAAAACCTCCACATGTGTGAGGAACAGTTCCTGACCAAATAGTCTTCTTGAAGGGGTAACTAATGTGTGAACAGTAAATCACTAAATACCCTAAGAGCATCAGATTGCATGGTGGATTGACCAGTGGTTTGCAGATGAGACAGGAGAGAATATTGTGGGACAGAGGGCCCGCTCCCTCCTGTGTATTATAAAGTGGCCCCGCATCAGTTTCCCTCCTGTGATTTGTTGGTAAGCATGTGAGCAATATACAGACTACCAAAAGCTAACTTCAGAGGATTTCCAGCTTGGTAGACAGAAAAGCCCCATCATTCTGCAGTCATCTGGGTCTGAAAGACAGTCTACTAAGTGTTTTGACCCCTGTGCCAAGACCTCCAACAGCACAGAGCTAGCGCTGCAATCGGAACATACCAGGTTATATGACTCTGCCTCTCCTACTAGTAACTCCCCACAGTAGTACTCCTCCCTTGAGTACCACTTCCCAAAACAAGTGGTACTCAAGGAAAGATTTGCCCCCACAGAAGAAATTCAGCTTACCTGTGGCTAAATTTCATCTTATCTATACAGAAGATCAAGTTCTAGCTTCCCATTGTAATTAACAATGTTCACTGAAAATACCTGATAGATTCCCTTTTCAGAATGTTGGAAGGCATTTCAATGAAAAGGGTACCTTGTTTTTAGAAGAGCTTTTCATTTGGGCCAAGTCTTAAATACTTAAGAGTGGATTCCATCTCAGCTTGTCTAGGCCTCGGATTTTTTTTATGCACCTTCCTGCCTTTTAGCTATTTTCCTCCTCATCCTATCTCTATTAGTAGCCAGTAGAGAACGGAGAGGAAATTTAAGTGATCCACTTTCTTTTTGTTGATAGCTCTGACAAAAGGTTTAGAGATCATGTATGTGAGGAGCGTAAACAGTAAAACATAATGCTTGTGAAAGCCAAAATTATGTTCTAACTTTCAGTATGTGGGCACTCTGCTCCCTGCCACAGGCATAGCTGGGGGTCGTACGCAGCTGGTTGCAGCCTCAGGTAGCGGGAGAGGAAGGAGCTGTAGATTATACTGCATTATAGTCATGGGGATCTCTTTGATTATTTCATTTCAGCCACTAACACCTTCAAAGCCACCAGTAGTAGTGGACTGGGCCTCTGGAGTATCTCCCAAACCTGACCCAAAGACTATAAGCAAGCATGTCCAGCGGATGGTGGATGTAAGTACAGCTTTCACCAGACAAAAGCAAGGCCCTGCCTGGCTTCGTTTTGTGTGTGGGGATAAGGGAAGGGGGTGCAGTGGTAGAAACACAAGGTGAGGAACTGGAGACTCGTTCACGTGTGAGCCCAGGGACAACTGCTTCTCACACTGTGGCTGCAGGACAGCTCAGAAGTCACATCGTGACAACACACTTTGGCCTTATGTGGGGGGAAGTGAACCTCCTTCTGAAGACCCAGCAGGAGAGAATACATTTAGAGTTTGTCAGTTGATCTGGAGGCAGAAAGATGTTGGGAAAGGTTTGAGTAAAAGATAATGAGAACCTACAACTGAAAATCTTGGCACCTATTTGAGTGCACTGTGCTAAATGCTGAGGGGCAGTACATTCGGTCCATATTTCTACATTCATCCCCATGGACCATTCCAGCATAACAAAAGAAAGTAAGCCAGAGAGTGACAGGACAATGAGTGAGGATTAAGAGGGGAGGGAACCCTTCCAGCTGCACTACAGCTTCGCAGAGGAAGTGCCACCTGCTCTGAGCAAGGACAGAGCGAGGGAGACCACCGCACAGCGAGCACGCACTGGCCAGGGTGGTGGTATAACTGCTGTGCTAATGGGTCGAAAGCCCCTGGCCACCCTCCAGAGGTGACCCACGCTTCTTGGCGGCGGCTTCACAGCATTTCTTCATCCCTGTCTCTCAGAGGGGGGGAGGCGGCTCCTACCAGGCGCCCCAGCCCCTTTGTCACTTGCCTAAAGAATGATCACCAAAGAAACTCCTTTTTCAGTCTGTCTTCAAGAACTATGATCTTGACCAAGACGGGTACATTTCTCAGGAAGAATTTGAAAAAATTGCTGCGAGTTTTCCGTTTTCCTTCTGTGTGATGGACAAAGACCGGTGAGTTTGTGTACGGGAATGTGGCTGTGAGCCCTTCAGTAAAAGTAGTTTGTGCGTAACTAAAAAGAACTCATAAACTTTGATGTGTCGCTGCCATGATTACTTAATGAATATTCAGGCTAAAGAGCAATCATCAAATGAATGCCTGCCTATCTGGCTTTGGATTGGACCACAAGCAATCATGAAGCCAGTTTAATAGTCAACTACGAATTTTATAAAGTTTAGTCTCCTTGTTTTGTCCTTCCAGATCATGAAAAACTAACATTTATTAATGATCTGCATATGTACTTTTCATAAGATTACATCTTGGTTCTATATATAAAACCAAATATATGGTTGGTAGGTTCAAGTTAGGTATTATTACTGTCTGAAGTCAGAAACTGCAGCATAAGGTATTTCTCACCCTATACACACAATTTCCATAATTTTTCTTAAGTCCAATAATAGTGGTTAAATTTATTAAGAAAACCTAGGTTAGCCAAAGAACAACTCCATAAAAGTGAGTAATGCTGCCTCTACTACTTATTACAAGCTATTCATGTATGATTAAAAGGAATGCTCATGGCGGTAATTATCAGGTAATACATAATGTCCTTCCACTCAAGGATAAAAAGGTGAGATCTCTCCCTCCCCCCTCACATCCTGGTCTGTCCTTTGCTGGCAGGGAAGGCCTCATCAGCCGGGATGAGATCACGGCCTACTTCATGAGGGCCAGCTCCATCTACTCCAAGTTGGGACTGGGCTTTCCTCACAACTTCCAAGAGACAACCTACCTGAAGCCTACTTTCTGTGACAACTGCGCTGGATTTGTAAGTTGTCCTTGGAGTGCTTCAGGGTTGAACTTGGGGAGGGGTATAAGACAGGTGAAATGACTAAGCCGCACACAGACCTCGGAGCCCTTATCAGCTCATCCCAGCTTAGAGCCTAAGCAAACACCTAGAATAACCTAGTCCTCAAATGCATTTGTGTGCATTCATCTTTTTCCATTCCTTCCCGATTTATATTTCCCTCTGGTACGGGGCCCTGGATAAATAAGTATTAAATATGGGATATATATTTTTAAGTATTATATATTCCTATGTTGTTTCAAATGTTAGGAAAAAACATCCTCACCCCTCCCTACTTCCAAGGAATTACCTTTTAGAAATCATTGGGCTCTGCCCATCCTCTGTCCCACCCCTGACCCAACAGTTTTCTCCAAACCCAGTACCTGACCCGGTGGTTCTATAGACTTATTCTTAGTTTGGGGTCCTGATATGATTCCGCTTGAGGCCTAGAGAAGTCCTGACTCATAAATCCTGTGAGCTTCTTGAGAACATTTGATTGATCAGCACAAACTCTTCCAGTTTTTAATTTAAGGTCAGGAGGGACAATACATGAGAGAAATGAGGTTTCCCTCCCTCTTGAAGTAGGAAGTAGAATGAAGGAAAATCAAGAGTGATGTCAATGCCTTGCCTCCTAACAGATAGATGAGTGACACTGGTGCATTTTGTCTCTTGTCTCGTAGCTCTGGGGAGTGATCAAACAAGGATATCGATGTAAAGGTAAGGCTCAGCTTTGTCGACTGCATTCTTTTCCCTGGTCTTAGGTATTTTCCTATAGATAGTTTCTTCATAGTAGTTGTCCATTCAGTCCACAACTTCTGAGCATGGCCTATTCCTCAAACTGGCTTCCCTAGAGCAGTGGTTCTCAACCTTTCTAATTCCGCAACCCTTTAATATAGTTCATGTTGTGGTGACTCCCAACCATAATATTACTTTCGTTGCTACTTCATAAATGTAATTTTGCAAGTTAATGAATCATAACATAAATATGTGTTTTCCGGTGATCTTAGGTGACCCTGCTAGTGGTTCTCAAACTACTGTAGAGCCTAACACCATCGGAAAATACAGATGTTTACATTACGATTCATAACAGTAACAAAATTACAGTTATGAAGTAGCAACGAAAATAATTTTATGGTTGGGGGTCACCACAATATGAGGAACTGTATTAAAGGGTCAGCAGCATTAGAAAGATTGAGAACCATTGCTCTAGGAAGGGAGGTCTCCTTAGAGTAGGCAGTACATGTGGGATAATCAAGACACCACCTCTTCCCTCCTCGGCAACAGGGGCCCCTTCCTCAACTTGTGGTAAGGGCTACAACAGGACTGACCAAGTGAGAGTGCTGGGTTCACTGGGCGTCCTCGCTCCAGAAGACAGGGCAGGCATGTGTGACAAGAGGGCCCTAGAGAAGAAAGCGATGTGTGCTCAAAGACTCTGACTGGGCTGTCTTGTCCACAGACTGCGGGATGAACTGCCACAAACAATGCAAAGATCTGGTTGTGTTCGAGTGCAAGAAGCGAGCCAAGAACTCAGCAGCTCTCACTGACAATAACACCTCCGTGGGGCCAACATTCAAACTCTGCTCATTGGGAGCCAAAGATCTGCTCCATGGTAAGGAGGCATTGGGAACATCCATCTTGGAAAGTGAAATGGGAAGGATGAAGGTTAAAATTACCTTTATCCTTCTCTTTCTTTTCTTTTTGTAAATATATTTTAATTTATTTTAGAAAGAGAGATAGAAACATCAGTGATGAGAATCGCTGATTGGCTGCCTTCTGCACGCCCCACACTGGGGGATGAGCCTGCAATCCTGGCCTGTGCCCTGACTGGGAACCGAACCATGATCTCCTGGTTCATAGGTTGAAGTGCAACCACTGAGCCATGCCATCCTTCTCTTTCTTAACAGAAATCAGCACGAATACCATTATGGAAGACATGCCTCTATATTATGTACCCTATATTTTAAGAGTTGCATCATCTTTGGGTACAACTGCCCAAATTTTCATGCAGAGAATAACACAGAGGTCTGTCTGGGGTCTCAGTGTGAAGTCTGAAAAAGACAGTATCTTTTTATACTTACTTTACTCCTCCAAAAGAGACAGTGAAATTATTTCAGAGTAAATATAACAATCTAACAACAATTAAATAACAGTATAATTATGAGCTTTATTTGGAAAAATATTTAATGTTAATTTAAATTATGTTCCCCTAGTGAAAAATTAAACTAGGTAGGATCCTTAAAAGTATTACAAGTATTTCTAGTATTACAATTGTTGATTTAGATTACAAATGGTAAGAAAAAACTCATTGTCCAGAGCCATTTTACTTTACCAATCCAATGTCTTAGCTGGAAATTTTGCTAATAGGAAAGCATATTTAAAAATTACTGCTGAATCTTTGCAAAGCAGTAAATATAGATGATTTGCTGCCTATCTTAAAGCCTACCACCCATCTCAAAGTCATCTGTTCCTACTCTATATCTCCTGGAACTTATTTGGTTAATATCTAGGCTGGGTTCTGGATAAGGTTGTTGGTTCAAAGAAGAAAACCAGAATGACTCCTCTCTCCTTTTTTTTTTTTTTTTTTTTTTAAATATATTTTATTGATTTTTTACAGATTGGAAGAGAGGGGGATAGAGAGCTAGAAACATCGATGAGAGAGAAACATCGACCAGCTGCCTCTTGCACACCCCCTACCGGGGATGTGCCCGCAACCAAGGTACATGCCCTTGACCGGAATCGAACCTGGGACCTTTCAGTCCGCAGACCGACGCTCTACCACTGAGCCAAACCGGTTTCAGCGCTCCTCTCTCCTTTTCTAATATCATAGGAGGGCAATATATTTGCTAGAACTTCCCTATCACAGTTAAGCTGCGCCTATTGTACAAATTTGCAAATAGGTGCCACAGAGAATTCCTAGCAGCTAATCAAGGCCATCTGTATCAAGACCAAAACCTGAGTGCTGACAGATATTTATGAAACAGTAGAGGCTACTGAAAAGGCAGGGGCTTCAGTTTTCCCTCTAGGGGAAATAGAAAAAGATGCTCTTTCCTCAGGGTGAATGAGGCTGATACCAGCATCCATGGATTGGCCAGCAAAATCCCTAAATATCAGTCCCCTTCACCCCCTAAATTGGGTGCCTAAAAATGAGCCCATCTGGGGGGGCCTATGAGCTTTCTGAAACAAATGTGTCAATATGAGTCTCTGCTTTTCTGAGCTAGAGCACTAACACGTCTCATGTCTCCCTCAGCACCTGAGGATGGACCTTTTCCATTCCCTAATGGGGAGGCTGTGGAACAAAGTGAAGAGAGTAAAGATCGGACCATCATGCTCATGGGGGTGTCCTCACAGAAGATTTCTGTTCGGCTGAAGAGGACTGTCGCCCACAAGGCCACCCAGACCGAAGCACTGCCTTGGATGGGCAGCGACGGCCCTTCTGGTCCTTTTGCACCATCTTCCCCAAGGAAGACAGCCCAGGACACTCTGTACGTGCATCCTAGTCCCACATCTCCGTGCCCCAGCCCAGTCTTGGTCAGAAAGCGGGCTTTTGTCAAGTGGGAGAATAAAGATTCCTTCATGAAATCGAAGGAGGAACTCCGCCACCTCAGACTCCCAACTTACCAAGAACTGGAACAGGTACCTTTTCCTTTGTTTTTAGACTTTGAAAGAAATGGGGCTACACCAAGGAAGGGAATGTAAACTGAAGATTCAGTCCAGGTTGATTACTAGGAGATTAAAACAAGTAAAGAGATCCTGGCTTTCTCTCAAAGAAACAAGTGGGGACACTGAGTCACATTACATAACTACAACAGGACATATACAGGCTCCCTGTTGCACAGAAGTGACAGGGCCCAAACTGTTCACAATAGGCTCCAAAACAACTAGTGATCAGTTTTACAGTGCTGACCCCAAACCCCTTTTCTATATGGCACTTATAGTGAACTTGCCTAAGTCCTCCTTCCTTATAGTTTTTACTCTATTTATCAATGTTATGTTTGGGAACCTTCATGGTTACCTAGGCATCTTCCTAAAAGAAGGCAGGTGATCAGTGTGCTACAAAAAAAAAAAAAAAAAAAAAAAAAAGTGTACTATTTCACCAACTGAAAGGGCCTCCCTCTTAATGTAAATGAGGGAGATCATTTCTAACACATCAGGTAACGTACTGAAGAGCTAAATCAATAGTAGTTGGCAAGTGCATAGCTGAATATAATATACAGCAATATAATCCATAAAATGGTAAAAATTGTGTTTTTTCTGTTAAGCCCACAATGTCTAATAAGATACCAAATGGTGGCAAAAAAGGAGTTTGGTGCCAAAGATTTGAGAAAAGGGAATAATGAGGGGGGGAAGAAAAAAAAAAGAAAAAGAAAACTAGGAGATAGAATAACAGGTAGTTTCCAAATACTCTACTCTGTAGGGTCAATTACTAGCATATTTATTTTTATTTAGCGTACAAAGCTCATAGTGAGCTGGCTTACAAGACCTCTTGTTTATAAATATAGTTTCTTACCAATGGCAGGTAAGTTAAGTCATTTTAGAGATCATTCACTTTATTACAGGGAGGAATGCCTATCTACCCCCCTCCCGCCCCTGCCAGTATCAAGGTTGGCAATGTCTTTTTGGAGATCTATCACTATCATTACAAATATAGAACCAACGTTCACCTAGGTACAATAGAATGCCTTACGTAAGTCTATATAATACACAGTGAAGTTGTGCAAGATGGCCTCAGGATTCCCACCTTGTTCTCGGTGTTGTACCTCCCCCGTCAAACTCCAAGAACTGACTTAGAGGTACATTTAAAGAAACAAGTTATCCTAGCATGGCTCAGTGAACCAGGAAGTCACAATCTGATTACTGGTCAGGGCATATGCCCAGGTTGCGGGCTATCCCCAGTAGGGGGGCATGCAGGAAGCAGCCAATCAATGATCCTCTCTAAAATCATTAAGAACATATATTAACCCTTTGCACTCCGCTGTCCCCTCCCAGGGGACATCGGAATTCTAGCATATCACTCGGATGTCCCCTCTCAGGGGACATTGCAGTTTATTAGTGATTATGGGGAACTGAGTTAATTCAACGCACGTTTCCGCCGTTAGCGTCGAGTAGCTGGTAGCCAATGTCCAGAATGGTTCGGAGTGCAAAGGGTTAAAAAAAGGAAAGTAAGTTATATACATAATAAGAAGAAAATTTTGGTTTGGTGTCTGGAACAAAAACATATAACATTAGGAGAAATGAACAGATTTTTTGGATAAAAGGTACTCTCTCGCTCAGAATATTTAAGACATGTTTTAAGTCGATCAAAAAGTGAAAGAAATCTTAAAAAGCGAACCCAATAGAAGAGAAAGAACTTTACAAAGAACATCTAGCCCCCAGATGTTTCTTGCAAACTACCCATTAACGTCTGTGACCTATTCGGTCCTCGGTAAAATACAGGGCCAGGATTCCATATGCTCTCTTACAGTTTGCTTCAGAGCTTGACATTTTACATGTCCATGAAAAGGAACAATGTAGACAGCAACAATGACTTCCTGATGCAAGAAATGGGTGGTAGAGAGATTTCAGATGGATAGGTCCAGAATAATTACTAACATCTAATACCAGAACTCATAAACCCTCTTAGCATTTGCCTCTCTTTACATTTATTCTTGTCATAGGGATAAGAATTCACAATTATGTTTTAAAAAAAAACCTCACACCAATGAGTCCCAAAATCCTAACATGATTAGTCTACCTACAATTCAAGAGCCCCATCCACCCTGTAAATTCTAAAAAGAAGTACATTATTAGTATTGATCTTACAGAGTATTTAGAAAACTATTGGCCCAGTTGTCCCATAACCTATTTTCCTACATTACTCTAGCAATAAACAGTTAGAATTAGAAAACCTGTAACTATATATTAGAAGGGTGTGTTAACTACTTGTTATAGCACTAAAGGCCTGATGCACAAAATTCGTTCAAGGGGCTCAGCCCTTGCAGCCGCCACAGCTTGCCTCAGCCCTAGCAGCCTGCTTTGTCCAGAAGGTCGTTCAGCTGTCTGGTCTAATTAGCATATTACACTTTTATTATTATAGATAAAGACTTAACGAGTATTAAAAAGAATAATCTAATTTCATTTCTCAATGAATTGAAAGCTTAAAGAGGTAAATTGTGATATCAAAAATATAAAAGGTGAGAAGTAAAAAGGTAGAACCTTTATAGACAAAAGAAGATAAGGTGCTACCAGGATAAAATGACTATTTTATCTATGGTATGCTTTTTATAAGCCATATGGTATCCACAAAGCAAAAATCTAAAGGAGAGTTGTGAAGAGCTAAAGTGAAACATAAAAAGGGGAGACAAAGCAAGTTACCATGGAAAATTACCACTTTACAAAGGTAAACAGAGAAAAAGGAACAATGCAGATACAGAAGGCAAACAATAAGATGGCAGTAGTAAGTCCTTATACATCAACAATCACTCTAAATATAAATAGATTAAATTCAAAAGGCCATATGGATTTAAAGCGAGGCCCAACTATATGCTACCTATAGCAAACTCATTTTAGTCTAAAGACATAAGCTCAAAATGAAGGGAGAGAAAAGGAATATTCCCTATGAATAGAAACTAAAACAAGGTGGCCATAGCCACACAAGACAAATGAACAATTGTAAATATATATATGCAGCCATCATTGGAGCACTGATATATATTAAGCAAATACTAACAGATCTAAAGGGAGAAATAAACCATACAATACTAATAAGGGACTTCAATACCCTACTGTCAGCAATGGATAGATCATCCAGACAGAAAACTAACAAGGAAATTGTAGAACTGAACCACACAATAGAACAAATCAACAAATCAACAAATATACATAGAAAATTCTCTCCAACAGCAGAATATAAATTTTCCAGGATAGATCATATGATAGGGCACAAATCACAGCAAATTTAAAAACTGAAATCATACCAACTATATTTTCAGACCACAATAATATGAAACTAGAAATTAACAAGAGGCAAACTGAATAACCATTAAATCAAAGAAATCAAATTCTATCTAATTAAATTGTAATATGCAAATTAACCATCACGCTGTCACAAAGATGGCGGTGCCCATAGCCACAAGATGGCAAGGGTGGGGTGGTGGTGGCCACTGAGAGCAGGCAGCGTGAGCGTTCCACACCCAGCTGCGAATGGGCCTCTGGGCCACGGAGAGCCTCTGGGCAGTGGGCGTGAAGCAGCCAGGCCCCTCAGAGAGCTACTGGCGCATGGATTTGTGTGCAGGGCTACTAGTTGGAAATAAAAAATTACCTCTACACAAAGGGAAATACAACATATCAAAACTTACAGGATGCACCAAATGCATATCTTTAAAAAAAAAATCTCAACCTAACTTTATACCTCTTGGGACCTAAAAAAAGAACAAATTAACCCAAAGTTAGAAGAAGGAAGAAAATTATTATGATCAGAACGAAAATAAGTGAAATAGAGATAAGAAAAATAATAGAAAAGCTCGACAAAACTAAAAGCTGGTTCTTGGAAAAGATAAAATTAGAAATGCAAAATGTGATATTACAAGTGTTACTACACAAATACATGACACCATAAGAAACTATTATGAACAATTATATGCCAATAAATTAGATAACCTAAAATAGATACATTTCTAGAAACACATAATATACCTAGACAGAAATAGAAATCTGAACAGACTAATAATGAACAAAGAGATTAAATAGTAATGAAAAACCTCCCAATACAAAAAATCCCAGGATAATGAAATGGCTTCACTAGCAAATTCTACTCAAAGAAGAATTAACACCAATCCTTCTCAAACTCTTTCAAAAAATTGAGGAGGAAGGAATACTTCCAAATTCATTCTACAAGGGTATCACAAGAAAACTTCAGACCAATATCACTGATAAATATAGATACAAAAATTATCAACAAAATTCAAGAACACATAGAAAGGATTATATACTGTGGTTAAGTGGGGTTTACCCTTGGGTGCAAAAATGGTTCAACATATGCCCAGTCATATTGAGTATAGTACTGAAAGTCTCAGCCAGTGATTAAACAAGAAAAAGAAATAAAAGTAATCCAAAACAGGATTATCTGTGGATAATATGAGTCTGTACTGGTATATAGAAAATCCCAAAGATTCAACCAGAAAACTGTTGGGACTAATCAACAACTTCAGTAAAGCTGCAGGATATAGCAATCAACTGAATTTCTATAACATCTAAAAAAATCCATTCACAGTAGCATCAAAAAGCAATAAAATACTTGGACTATATTTAACCAGGAAGTGAAAACTCTATACAATGAAAACTACAAGACTTTGCTAAAACTGAAGAATATATAAATAAATGGAAAGACACCTGTATTAATGGCTTAGAAGAATTGTTAAAATATCCACACTGTCCAATGCAATCCCCATCAAAATACCAGTGGCATTCTTTAGGAAATAGAAATAACAATCCAAAAAATTGTATAGAACCACAAAAGACCCCAAATAGCCAAAACAATCCTGATTTTAAAAAAAATTGGGGGAGGTACCTGATTGCAAACTTCACCATAAAGCTACAGTAATAAAAATAGTATGGTATTGGCACAAAAATAAACATGAAGACCAATGTAGCAGAAAAGAGAGCTTGAATGAAACTCCTGTTTATACAGGTCAGCTAATATTCAATGAGTGAATAAAATGGTTACCAGGCAATGGGGGTGGGAGGAGAGGACAGATGTTAAGGGTACAAATTTACACCAAGTGATAAATTAGCCATAGAGATATAATGCACAGTACAGAGATTATAGACAATATTGTATCATCAAACTCACCAAAGCGACTAGAATTATTCCAACTTCTAAAAAAAATTATGTAACATGATGGAGGTGTTAATTATAGCGACCATGCAATCATATTGCAATACATAATTATCAAATTAATAGGTTGTACACCTTAAATTTATGTTATGTACCAAATATATTTCAATTAAAAAAAAACAAAAAACATCAAGACTGGAAACCAACTGTTGTCCATATAATTAAATCATTGAAAATTAGATAACTGGATTCCAGTTTAAAGGCTGAAAAAAAATTCCTGTCTTTGCCAAGAGTTCATTAGTTTTCGATGATTTGGGGGTAAAAATACTTGAATAAAATGAACTATGATATATCATATTACAGTATTCTGAATCACTGCTTTCATACCTCAAACCTGACCAGAGACTTTGTTTCTGCCAAGTTTAGGTCTCCTGCTACACAACTTCCATAGGTTGTGTCATTATCCACCTACTTCCGGGAATGGTTTATTCCGCCTATTAGCCATCACATCATTGATATGCTTAACAAAAACTAACTGCTGTTTGTACATGTTCATTTGTTGTTTAACTTATTATTTTATATTAAGGGTAAAAATTTTTTAATACTCAGCCAACAATGCATGGAAGATGCCAATCAAGTGTAGTACTCGCAATATTGTAACTGATTTACTATTCATTGCTGCTTTACTAACATACCTCATTCTCCGTTCTCTTTAGGAAATAAATACACTGAAAGCAGATAATGATGCTCTAAAGATCCAACTGAGATATGCACAGAAGAAAATAGAAAGCCTCCAACTTGCAAAAAGCAATCATGTCTTAGCTCAGATGGAACAGGGTGACAGTTCTTAGCCCAGAAACTCAAGCAGCACAATCTGTAGATAAATGGATTAGAGATCTCATTTCCCAAACCAGTTAACACAAAGATTGGGGAACCTTAGAGTGACCAGTTTTAAAGGGGGTACTTTAAAAAGGAAAAGCTAGTCTTCCCACCTCCCACCCCCAATGTGTGATATTGTTTTCTCTCTCAGTCAGTTGAATCAAAGGGGAGGAAAACTGAAAAACGCAAAATTTTTGCCATTCATACCACAAACATATTTCCCTGAAACTAAAGGCAAAAGCATGATAAAAACATGACTATAGTTTTCTAACAAGGTAGCTTCTCTTATGTGGCCTGCCTGGCTACTGCTTCCTTAGAACTAAAATCCCTGGAAAATGAATTTGCTTCCTTCCCTGGGGTTTTCTGTAAATTGGGAAATTTACTTTGTTCCACTCAAAGCTTACTTATCATATTAAAGTAGATTCACTTCCTGTACATTCCAGCATTCTTTATGAATCTGGTTCCCGATTCACTACCTCAAATCTAATCAATTAGCCCTTTCCCCACCCCCATCCTTCCTCACTGTGCTCATCATATACACAAGGGTATCTACCTAGAGCTGAACTTCTAGAATATAAGTGAATATAAGTTCAAATTGTGGGGGCCTATTCAACAATATGACACTATCCAGTTGCATATCAACTAATAGTTTGTCACAAAGTCATAATAAAATAAGTAATCAAATTATTGTAAATACCTGAAAACATGGCTATTACCATTTTATATATGACTTGACTAATTAGCTAAAATAAATGTAATGCAAACATGTCTGTCCTCTTCAGTGAATAGAATTAGGACTTTATGGCTATTTTTTTTAAAAAAAAAAAAAACCAACAGTCTGCTTACCTCTTTGTGTGCCATCTTTACCCTTTTTTTTTAAGTAATTTTTTTAGCTGAATTTGTGCTTACCAGTATACTCCCTTCACTATTAATACCATTTAGAAATAAGCTAATTGTATCAGAGCCTTCAATAAGAGCTGACAGCATGTATATATGTGTATATATTATGTATATACAGTACCAGGCATGTATGTGACTTGGAATTTTGTTTCCTCCTTCATAAAATGTGGAAGTGAATTAAACAACTTTTAGTCATTTACATAAATTCACAAATATAAAGTTCAGTTTGTTATAAGATGAAGGATTTACTTACAATGTAAACTGTATTATTTGCAAACTCACAAGAGCCCTGTAAGTTATTATTAATGAAAGCTAATGATAAATTTGTTCATTTAGCTGTCTGGGCAACTGATCACAAACTCCTTTGTTAGACTCTTTATTTCTCTAAAAAAGTCCAATGATAATTTTCTTCTTTTTGGGGGGGGGGGGGGGGCAGGGGAGGGGAGAACACAACTTACCTTCCATGCTTGGAAAGCCTGGTAACAAATTGACTTGAAATACATAAACAAGTTGAACAACATGCCAAGAATATAATACCAGCCTTTAGAAGTTCCAAACCTAAAGCCAACAACACCAAGTCTTAGAGTACAAAGTACATATACACAGTGTAGCTTCTTTGGAGGATTCAGACTATTTAAGAAGTTTATTTGATGAAAAACTGCATACCTCCTTATACTGAGCTTTAGTGACAAAGCTAGTGACTAATTTTCCTTTGTGTTTTAAAAAAATCACTTTACACACAGACTTAGTCTTTTCTAAGTCTAAACTAAAAAAATCTCACCACCTAATATGTAAACTTATAGAAGCTACTCTACTGTGCTACTTACATTATATGGAATATAAGTTTATGATCCTCTTTAAAATTCATATTCTTCACTATTATCCTTTTCCTCTGATATAAACCAAAAACAGTACAGCTCAATTTTCTTTAAACATAGCCACATAACAGTAATTTTTTCATTTTTCTTCCCCTCCACCCAAAATACAGATTCCAGGTTAGTTTCTATGTAAATAATTTGTAATCAATAGGAATTCAAAAGGTCAGTCCTCTTAGTCAAATTAACATGGCTAAAGGATCTTACCACTGAAATGGATAGGAAGTAATTTCATCACAGGTTTTTACAGCCCACCTAGGGCCAAAGAAGTAGTGTATAAATTAATATTATTTGTGTGGAATCTACAGAAATAATTTGGCATTGACTTTTGGTTGTTAAGCGTAGGATACAAATTTTTGTGTCTTGTACTGACTTGAATAAGTTTGGGCATATATTTATCTGTCAAAACAATGACAAGTTTTGTTTTAACAGCAATGTCACTTCTCATTTTCTTTGGTAACTTGAGTTGCCTTTTTATTGGTTGTGAATTTCTAAAGATATATTATGTAAAAGAACTACAAGAAAAAACAAATGTACAGATTGTAAAGTTTTTTTATATCTAATGTAAGTTTTCTTTATGTAATATTTATATGATAAAAGACATTAGGACCCCTATAGCATAGATGTCTTGTATTTCTTCTATAGTTCATAAATATGTAGAAGCTTCACCTGAATTCTTATTTAATCCACAGCTGAGACCATTCCCCTATTGTATAATATTAACCAAAGAGCTCTGGAAGAAAAAACAAAGCAACTAACTAGTAAATTTTTTTCTAAATCTTTTGATAACACAAAGAAGTAACAGTACAGAAATATTCAACCTTTTCCCATCTTACTGCATTATGACTTAAAGTGATCCCTAAATATTAAGTCTATAAACACATAACAATGAAGGAGACAGATCTGAGGCTGTCATTTCTCTGTGGCTTTGGTCTTTAATTACACAGTTCTATCCAAGAAAACTGACAAGTAGAGAAACTTTGAAGCTGTGGGTGAAATTGGTAGAGAATGATGGTTCTATCTAGTATAATTTGTGCGCATCATTATTTAGTGACTAGAAGCCTGGTGCATTAATTCATGCACAGGTGGGGTCCCTCAGCCTGGCAATGGAGGCCTATAGGGAGGGCTGGCTGGCCGGGGAAGGGGCTGCCAGAGGTTGGCCAACCAGTCCCCCACCTGGCGGGAGGGACCACGGGAGGTTGGCTGGCTGGCTGGCTGAGCAAAGGGGCCGCAGAAGGTTGGCTGTGGGAGTGCACTGACCAACAAGGGACAGCTCCTGCATTGAGCATCTGCCCCATGATAATCAGTGCATGTCATAGTGACTGGTCAACCAGTTGTCTGGTCATTTGGTCATAATGGTCATTTAGGCTTTTCTATAGATTGATAGATTGATAGATTGATTGATGAGATAGATAGATAGATAGATAGATAGATAGATAGATAGATAGATAGATATACACTGAGTGGCCAGATAGTTATGATCCCTGAACACATAATAATCTGGCCACTCAGTGTGTGACTGTGTGGATGTGAGTGTGAGTGTGAGTGTGTGTGTGTGTATTAGAGGCCTGGAGCATGAATTCGTGCATGAATGGGTTCCGGCTAGCCTGGCCAGAAGGATGGGGTATGGGCAATTGGCCAGCTTGCCTGCTGGTCAAACTCTTGGTCAAGGGGACAATTTGCGTATTAGCCTTTTATTATATAGGATATACACTGAGTGGCCAAATTATGATGCATCCAGAGATAATAATCTGGTCAGTGTATATAGATTAGAGAGAGCCATGATTTCCCTTAATCCCCAGCCAACTTTTGTGTAACAGACCAAAAAAGGAAGAGAAATTCCAATCACTGAAATCCCAATACAGAATGCATTGATACACTTGGATGTGGGTGTAGTCATCATTTTGGAAATTCATTATACTATATACAAAATAATTAAGTCACTCTGACAACCTAAATCTAAAGAAGGGATTAAATTTCCTCTCCTCCAGTTCCAATTCCCATCCCAAATCTCTATCCTGTGCTCCTTATACTACATAATATTACTGCTTAGGACATTCTCTGGTCACAGATCTTTTATGGAGTTTCAAATCTTCTTTCAACACAAAGACAGGCAACTAAATGTTTTTGGTTTAAAATGTTTTGTGGTTGCTGTTTTTTTCTGTTTAGTGAGTAAAGTTTCCTTGATCTGAAGAACACAAGGGAATAGGTTCAAAGAAAACACATGACCCCTCTTTTGCTGAGAGCTGACATGTTATGTGGTGGTGGTTATGTATGGACAGGACTTACATTATTTATACTAATGCAGTCCAAATGTGAAGGTAGTTACCTTTTTTAACACAGAAACTCCCAGTAATGACATATCTATAGATGCTATGAGATAACAAAGGCTAGACCAATGCAAGAAAAATTAAAAAGGGGAGGGAAAACTAGGTAATATGAAAATGAGAACCAGGCAAAAAGGAATGAAGCAGCACACAAAAAAAGGTACTGAACTTTAGGAAGCAGAGAAATAGCATTCATCATACTCTTCATCTGTATTGCACTCAATTTATAAAACATTTTCACATTATGGCCTTTCAATAAAGCCCCCGATGGCCATATTGCTATTTTATTATTTTTTAAAATATATTTTTAGTGACTCAGAAAGGGAGAGGAAGAGCTAGAAATATCAATGATGAGAATCATTGCTCAGCTGTCTCCTGCATGCCCCACACTGGGACTAACTATAGCCCGCAACCCGGGCAAGTGTCCTGACCAGAAATCAAACTGCGACCTCCTGGTTCATTGGTTGATGCTCAACCACTGAGCCACACCAGCTGGGCACCTTGGTACTATTTTAGATACTGCTTAGCACACTCTTCTACAAATTTTTACTGAACAAAGATTATCATTAAAATCTTAGCTCAGAAGAAAGAATAAGATAGTTGAGTCTAGACCACTCAGCTTTTATTTAAGTGAAGTTTATAGGAATATGTAAATGTGTTACTCCAGCTCTGACATGATTCCAGGAGCAAGTGCTAAACCTGGATAAAATTTACAGTGAGTCCTGTGGATAATCCAACAGCACTCATATGAAAGTACAAATCTTACAAAATTGATGAACTACTGTTTCTGTCATTATTCATAAACCTCTAGTGATAAAAATTGAATATAGTTATAAGCCCCTTCTAGGTCAGCAACTAAAGCTTCCGAAAAGAAATAAAGCAGAAATGTAAAAGTTTAAAAATGAATGTTTTAACTAGCAACTCTCTTGAAATACTTTACCTTAGTGGTCTCTGCTTACATATTTTTAAAAATTATTTTTCAGAGTTCATAGCTACTCATAAAAATGTTTTCTTAATTATGGAAAACATTCTTCTCCAATAATCACAAATAAAATTAAGTATTTTCATTAACTATAAGCACATTTAAAAATAATCTAAGTTTACAAATAATCAAAAACATTTGTTTTCCTATACTTAACGAATTTCTTTGAAGGGTTATCTTGGAAAACACATGGCTAAGACTACACACAATGTTACTTTTAAAGTTTTAACATTACTTTAGGTTTCACCACAGGGTTTACTCTAAAGCAAAATAAAACAATAAGAACTGCCAAATACCAACATCCACTGGTACTCAGCTTTTTATCTATTCAGCTGGTTAGAGCATAGAAAGTTGTTATGCATAGGTGTTGACCAGAAGCCTACATTGAGATACAGATTTTACAGTGGGAATTTAAAAAATCTGTATGGCTATCACTTTTTCTCTCTCTGTACATTGAGAAAAATATATAACTTGGCCCACTTCTTAAACCATTCACAAGAGGCACACTATGAATTCCCAACAAATTTCACTTGTACTTAGGTCTATATGAAACAACCTGGATAGTGCTCAAGCATCACATAGATTCCTCATCTGACAAATGAGGATAAATCAATCCTTGAGATCTTTGATCATTTTAGCCCATAGCACCCCTCAGCTAGCGCCATAATTCAAATTCACAACTCCTAGTCACCAGGCCTTTGACTGCTCCAACCACATATAATGCTTCTCTAACACTGTATTTTCCAAATCTAACTGTGAATCAGAACTACCAAGGGATGCCTTGGCCTACCTCTGATTTATTAAAACTGAAAAGTACTGCTCTAATCCTATGTAATACAGTTCAGCCTGCCATTTAACATTCTAATATCTAAAATAATGGCCCAAAGGATGAAGAAACAATTTACAAGAATATTTTTACACCACCATGTAAAACTGGTTCATGTTTTTGTCCCTTCAGAGTAATTCTGACTTCAACCAAACTTTGCTTTGTCAAACAAAATCACAAATTTAAAATCCAGTTGGAAAATAAATCAAATATGCATATTAAACGTAGACCCAGGCTTCAATTAGTGGAATTTTAACAGAAACCTGGGCAGAGAAATCACTTCTATTAAAAAAAAAAAAAAAAAAAAAAAAAAAAAAAAAAAAAACAAGTCAGAACAACTACCTTTTAAACAAAACTATCAGTACCTTTCCCTATTTTGTAAAGTAAAATTAAGAAATATAAAACACAGGAATACAGATGAGGCAACAGTCTAATAACAAGTGGGGTCTGTTTTATGTGTGTCAAACCTGAATAAAATACAGGTAACAATCTAAATTCAATCATGACAATAAAATACTTTCCATTTTTCCAAGTCTGATGTTAATATTTACAATTTTAAAAATAGCCTTTACTCACTTTTTTTGTTTTTTAAAAAGACATAACATGCTCAAGGGTAGACAAATATGAAAAAAAATCATCACTCTGTCCAAGAAATCATACAGTATTAAACAATGTTCTTACATATTAACCCAATTCAAGAATGATATCAAGGAATCTAACAGTGTTTACTTCATAGATGACATTCAAATATGTTCTTTACAACACTATGCCTAATGTAGCTATCAAAAAGTAAGCACTGCTATCTAATTTTTGTACCTTTCAGTATCTTCTATATCCACCACCACCTCCTCCTCCATATGGATCTCCATAACCTCTTCCACCATAGCCTCCTCTTCCACCATAGCCCCCTCTCCCCCCATAGTCTCCCCTCCCCCCATAATCTCCCCTGCCTCCTCTACCACCCCCTCCCCCACCTCCTCCCCACCCTCCACCCCCTCCCCCACCACCTCCCCAGCCACCTCTTCCACCCCCACCACCTCCTCTACCCCCACCTCCACCCCAACCACCCCTTCCGCCGCCTTCTTGTCTCTTTTGCCAAGGTGGCATTTCAGGGGGTGGTGGTTCGATTTCATTTGGCCGTCCTCCCCTGTCAGGCACCCTTCCCATCAGCACCTGTATGAAGAAACATTTTCTTTCAGTTACTAATATTTTAAAAATTAAAATTGACATAAAGGACTCAAGTAATACTGAAATTATTGTTCTAATAAAGAAAAAGAAGCCAAATATGAAAGTATCAGAATGACAGTATGAATTAATATTGAAAATATAAATGCAATGTACAACAAATTCCTTACAATGTGGTATTATTGTTAAACAACCTAGGAAAATATTTCTAAAACCAAAAGGCTTGTTATTTTCCATTGTTTAAATGTGTTTAGCATAGCCTGTAACAAATGTAGTACCCATAATACTAAGAAACCTTTTTAGCAAAACATTAATATACTTAAACTACAGACCTTAAGTTAAAATCATATCCATTTATACAACAACTCTGGACTTTCCACTGCTACTGGTTTGGTAATGGACTATCCAATTGTATTTTTAAGCACATTTTTATCTCACAAGTATGAAGTATATGTGATAACATGTGGCTAGGTCAGAGACGAATATAATGACTATAACCCAGGGTAGCATTGCAAAGAGATACAAGGATTCTCAGTGAGAATCCTCTATTATGAGAAACTTAAGCTTACTAACTTTCAATGATACTAGTTATTATTAAAAAGAAAATACTTGCTGTCCTTCCTTAACCATGCTTTATGATACTTTAAAGGATAAATCAAGAATTTGGTTTAAGACCCCAGACTTCTACAGAAAGGCTATACTCTATCTGCCCATGAACAGAGAAAGACAGCTGTGAGGAGGATGCCTCCCCACCAACCACAGCCAAGAGTAAGCCAATAGCTTCCTGCTGGTCTGTTTCAGGAAAGAAGGTAAAACAGTAACTGCCTCAACCAAACTGACCTATAAGTCAGTTAGGTTCTACTTCTATTGATCTTCTAAGGAAAACTATATTTTAGTAATTTATGTCATAAAGAAAAGACAAAAAGTACAACATTCTCACTGTGGGACAAGATTCAAAGTATGTAAACATTCTTTTAAAGTCAGCAATAATGCCCTAATTACCAAATCAAAAACTGCTTTTCTTGGTTGTCATTCTCATTGGTCTCTCCAAAAATATGCTATGTTGGTGGGTATACGGGGACACTGCTCCAAAAACTGATCATAAGATTGCTTTCAAAAAGATGTTCTAACATTTCCTCTGTTCATCTCTGTCCCCCTGAAAAAGTCCCAGAAAGAACCCATCAATGTTTCTCCTTAATACCCAGGTTTCCAATTCAGTTCTGTTTTATATCACTTTAGTAGCCTCTTAGAAGTATTTTGAAAATATGGAGTTCCAAAGTACATTCTGCCACATGGGTGTTTTAGAATACTGACCTAGCTACAGGGCCAATGACAGATTATACCTGGTAGCAGCACTGGTTAGATTAAAGTTGCTACCATGTGCATTGACACCATATAATGTGCTGGGGTGGGTATGTGAACACTTTCTACCCTGCAATAAGATGATTTAAAAACTTCTTGACTTTGCACCATGTCCAAAGGGATACTACTGGGTTGAGTTCTATTTGTAATAGAGAGAAAAAAGCCATTCGGTTAAGCAAATGATTCAGAAGAAAGGGGATGGAAGAATGATGGTAGATACCTGATGGGGAGGTATGCTGAATGCTGTCATCCTTATGTTTATCCCAAACCAATCTATTAGACTTGTTTGACCCTCTTATTTTCCCTTGAAGGTTTAATTAAGTTCGACCATATTCTGTCAACTGTTTCAGTTTCAGTGGAATCTTGTATTTCTGGTTTAGTATAACAAGAAATTGTTCCCTCAAATGTGGGGGGTGAAAAAAAAAAAAGGTTGCCTCAAATAATTAGGCTGTAAATTATAAACTCAGAAAAGGGATGGACAATTTCACTTAAAGAAGTAGAACTCTTGTTGCTATAAGAGTAAATAACCTGAAGCAAGATACTGAGTAACATACAGGGTGGGGCAAAAGTTTACAGCTGTTTATATGGAAAATAACACAATAATCCCATATAATAAAAGAGTAATATGCAAACTGATCGAAGAGTGGAATGACCTGTTGCTATGACACACACAGACCACCAGGGGGCAGGTGCTCAATGCTGGAACTACCCCTTGGTGGTCAGTGTGCTCCCACAGGGGGAGTGCCACTCAGCCAGAAGCCTGGCTCACGGCTGGCGAGCACAGCATTGGTGGCAGGAGCCTCTCCCGCCTCCACAGCAGCGGGCATCCCCTGAGGCTCCCAGACTGCAAGAGTGTGCAGGCCAGGCTGAGGGACCCCCTCCCCCAAGTGCACAAATTGCATGTACCAGGCCTCTAGTTAATAAGTAACAGTAAAAAAAATAAATTTTTATGTTTTGCATACTCACACTATAAAATTTTGCCCCCATCCTGTATTTAAAGACAGAACACTTTCAGAAGATAAAGAAGACTGGTCTAAAATAGAAGTAGGAGGCATGAACACTAGAGCCTGAGCAATGATTAGGCAAACTGATTTTTTAAACCATCCATCTGGCAAGATAACCTGCATCAAGGATTTATTTCTCACTATACTGAATGAAAAACTGTTTTAAAATTACCCAAATCCATTACTTCTGCTCTTCTGTAAAGTTGTCATAGGCTGCTCTATCTAAATGAAGACTATTTTCTAATTGAGCTAACAAGTATTTCAGATTAGTTTATTGTTGTTAAAACAAAAATTCAGACTCTATGAACTTGGTTAAGACCAAGCTTGTCAGAGAAATGAATCTATACCAGTGGTCGGCAAACTCATTAGTCAACAGAGCCAAATATCAACAGTAAAACGATTGAAATTTCTTTTGAGAGCCAAATTTTTTAAACTTAAACTTCTTCTAACACCAAATCTTTAAAATAGACTCGCCCGGGGCTCTGGTATTTTGTGAAAGAGCCACATTCAAGGTGCCAAAGAGTCGCATGTGGCTCGCGAGCCACAGTTTGCAGGCCACTGATCTATAGTCTATGAGTCAGGAAACCTCCGAGAGATTCAGTTATTTGCCCACAGTGATTCCTCTAAGTAAATGAACCCAGATTTGTATGGCTCCAAAGCATGTACTCTTCCCTTTACACCAAGGATATAGGGATTTCATTAACAAAGAATGATTGATTACATTCTTAGAAAGAAATCTTCCTAAAGCTATTGATAAAACAATTCTTAATTCCTATAATTCAGATAAAACTTTGGTTTAATTAATGAGTATAGAGATTCAAATGAACATGCACATACAAAACTAAGCCTAGATGGACTGAAGCCCTTACACCACTGTCTTTTCTAGAGCACCAGGATATAAAGGAAAAATGGATTAACATCTGTAAAAAGAGCATCAAATTGAACAGGAAACCCACTGTATTGGAGAACATATTTGTCAATAATACAGCTGATAAGGGGCTAATTTCCAAAATATATAAAGTTCTCATACAACTCACCAAAAGGAAGATAAACAATCCAATCAAAAAATGGGAAGAGGACCTAAATAGACACTTCTCCAAAGAGGACATACAAATCGCCAAGAGACATATGAAAAAATGTTCAATGACACTAATCATCAGAGAGGATGCAAATTAAAATGACAATGAGGTACCACCTCATACCTGTCAGAATGGCTGCATTAATAAATTAACAAACAACAGGTGCTGGTGAGTATGTGGAGAGAAAGGTACTCTATACACTGCTGGTGGGAATGCAGACTGGTGCAGCCATTATTGGAAAACAGTGTGGAGTTTCTTCAAAAATAAAAAATGGAACTGCCATTTGACCCAGTGATCCCACTTCTAGGAATATATCCTAAGAAATCCGAAATACCAGTCAGAAAGAATATATGCACCCCTATATTCATAGCAGCATTATTTACAATAGATAAGCTCTGCAAACAGCCCAAGTAGCCATCAGTAGGTAAATGGATAAAAAAGTGGTGAAATTTATACAATGGAATACTATGCAACTGAATAAAAGAAGGATCTCTCAACTTTTGAGATAGCATGGAGGGACCAGAGAATATTATGCTAAGTGAAATAAGCCAGTCAGAAAAAATCAGTATCACATGATCTCACTCATATGTGGAATCTAATAACAAAGTAAACTGACAAACAAAAGAGATCCAGAGAATGGAAGCATGGAACAGATTGATGAATATCAAAAGGAAGGGGGGGGAGGGGAGAAGGGAGGAAGTCAACCGAAGATCTTATGTACGTATATGCATAACCCATGGACACAGACAACAGTAGGGTGAAGACCTGGGGAGGGGATGAGAGTGGAGAGAAAAAGGGAGACATCTGTAATACTTTCAACAATGAAGATACATTTTAAAAAGTAAAATAAAGTCTGTAAAAACATCAAATGAGGATATTATAGATTCATGCTCCACTGTAAAGAAAAACCAACCTTATTAATGGCGCATGCCGTCTTCTCCCGACTAGAGCCACTACTTGTCCTAATGATCTTGGAAAGATCTTCACGAGCAGCAAGTAAATGTGCCAATGTAATCGTTGTCTTGGGTGACAAAGCATAACGCTTAGGCTGATAAATTCTGGCTATGTCATCTGTTTTCACCTAAATGACAAAAGATAGGGGAAAAAGTAAGTGAACCAAAGGACATTTCAATGAAAGAGCAATAGCAATCATAAATATATGATAATTTATATCTAATGAAAAATGTAAACCAACAGATGCTAAAAGAAAACATAACTACCAGGATCAACTCATTAAAAACTCTCTCTCACACACACACACAAAAAAAACACACACAAAAAAAGGCACCACAACCACATATAGAACCTACCAAAAAAAAAAAAAATTACAAAACTTGAAAAATTGTAGAGAAATACTAATTTTCTGGATGGGGACACTGAATATTATGTGTTTTCTCCAAAATTAATAATAAATTTACTGCAATCCTGTTAGAATGCTTTTTGAAAGGATAAGAAGGAAAAAAAAGGAATCTAAAGATAATCCAGAAACTAAATATTTAAGAATGACAAAAACAATTCTGAAAGAGTTCTACCAGATATTAATATGAAGTTATCATTGTCCTAACTGCTCACATTCTTTGAATACTTATTTAGATGTGCCAGGATACTATTCACTTAATAGTCATCTTTTAATTCTCAAAATACCCATTTAGAATGGTTGGATTTATTGCCCCCTTTTGTATCTGGAAAAAAATCAGACTTAGAAAGCTTAAACAACTCCCTTAAAATACAAAGAGAATCCCAGGTTTGTCCACTTACTAATAAAGATCTATTTGACCCACAATACAGAATACTATCCTATCTCAGTCAAATTACATGGAACTTGGGAGAAAAAAAAAAAAGAGAGAGACTGATGAAGCAAAATAAGCAACTGAGATTCAGAGTCCCATATATGTGTGAATGCAATAAATAATAAATAAAGAAAAGTGAGAAAAGAGATGGATAATTCTAAAATGGTGCTGGAATAAACTGTTGGCCACTCAAAAAAATAATAAGGTATACCATATTGAAATTCCAAATATATTAAATAAAGAGGTAATATGCAAATTGATTGTCATACCCTTGCACAAGATGGCCGCCCCCATGTGGTCACAAGATGGCTGGCAGGGGAGGGCAGTTGTGGGCAATCAGGAAGGAAGGGGAGTGCAGTTAGGGGTGACCAGGCCGGTAGGGGATGGAAGTTAGGGGGAACCAGGCCTGCAAGGGAGGACAGTTGGGGGCGACCAGGCTGCAGGGAGGGCAATTCAGGGCAATTGGGCCAGCCAGGGAGGGCAGTTGGGAGCAATCAGGTCAGCAGAGGAGCAGTTTGGCGTCGATCAGGCTGGCAGGGGAGTGGTTAGGGGGTGATCAGGCTGGCAGGCAGGAGAGCGGTTGGGAACCAGCAGTCCCGAATTGTGAGAGCAATGTCCAAGTGCAGGCCTAAACTGGCAATCGGACATTACCCAAGAGGTCCCAGATTGGAGAGGGTGCAGGGTGGGCTGAGGACCACCCCCCCCACTCCACTGCATGAATCTCTAGCATATTATAAAGCTTAACATTTCTATACATCAAAAATATAAATAAATAAAACAAAATCAAAAGACAATGGGGCCAAAACCGGTTTGGCTCAATGGATAGAGCGTCAGCTTGGGGACTGAAAGGTCCCAGGTTCAATTCCGGTCAAGGGCATGTACCTTGGTTGCGGGCATATCCCCAGTAGGGGATGTGCAAGAGGCAGCTGATCGATGACTCTCTCTCATCGTTGTTTCTAACTCTCAATCTCCCTTCCTCTCTGTAAAAAATCAATAAAATATATTTAAAAAAAAAAAAAAACAATGGGGAAATTTTTTTCAACAAATAAAGCAACTAGCTAACTTCCTTAATATAGAAAAAGCTCAATCAAAAGGAAAACAGGAAGATCTCAACAGGGGGAAAGAAAAGACAAGACACAAAAGAACTTTAAAAAAAGAGAAAAACTGAAATGACTAATATGCTTATGAAAAAAGGGTTAAAAATTTCCCACTTATAAAAACACACAAATTAAGAGAAATTAGTCTTTTATAACCATCAGGTTAGTAATAAAATTGGTAATATTCTAAATATTAAAGAGGCTAAACTGAAGACAAAATTTCATTTATCTTACTGATAAGAGTTTAAATTCATACCAACTTTCTAAAAAGCAATTTTGCTATGTGAATCAAGAATATGGAGTGTCAATAACCTTTGACACAGTAGCTTTCGATTAAGGAATCCACTATAAGAGTATACTTTGAAGTTGATAAATATATAATAAAAGCCTAATATGCAAATTGTTTGAGAGTTTTGCAGCTCACTATAATGTACACTGACCGCCAGGGGGCAGCACAGAACATGGTGAGCACTGGCAACGCAGCCCTGGCAGCAGTGGAGGTGCTGTCAGCCCAGATGGGCCCCGACAGGAGTGGGACCAAGGCGGGTGCGAGTGGGTGGCCCAATTGCCCCACTGATCACCTGCAAACGGCAACCAGTTGTGGCGGTGGGGGGCAGGGCTGCCCTGGGTTCCCAGTCGCTGAGGGAGCCGGGCAGGGGACCTAACCCCAATCCATTGCAGGCAGAATGGTGGAGCAGGTGAAGGTGCGGCACCAAGCCATAGCAGGGTGCCAGGAGGGGCTTGCAGGGCTGAGCACCAACTTGAGCTACGAGTCTGGGGACACGAGCTGAGGCCCGATCCCTGCAGGCCTCCTGGAGGGACCCCACCTGTGCACAAATTCGTGCACCGGGCCTCTAATCCTATATAATAAAAGGGTAATATGAAAATAGACCAAATGATCGAACAACCAACCGGTTGCTATGATGTGCACTGACCACCAGGGTGCCCACGTGGAACATGGTGGGCAGGATGGTGGAGCAGGGGCACCAGACCAAGGCGGGGCACCTGTCGCTGTCTGCCATCAGGGCAAGCCTCTGGTAGTTACTGAAAATTCTTTGGTCCTGCGAGCCACAGTTCCGCCTGGCACTCTCATCTGCTGCGGTGCCAGTCCCAATTGCTCAACACCATCAGTGGGTGCGAGCAGCAGCTGCCAGCCCTGGTCACCCCTGAGGGCTTTTATACCTCTCCCTGCTCCTTATGAAACCTTTTTTTCATAAACGTATTATTCATTAGCTTGCCCCTCAGGGGAGGCAGAGAAGCCTGCTCCTTATGAAACCTATTTTTTCCTAAGCATATTAGTCATTAGCTCACCCCTCAGGAGCCGGGGGAGGTGGAGAAGCCCTCAGGGACGACCAGGCTGGCAGGTGCCGTCCACACCCACTGATGGTGCTGAGTGATTGGTACAGGCGCTGGGTGCAAGTAGCAGCTCCAGCATCAGCTGCAGGTATAAGTGAGGCCGGCACCAGCAGAGGGTGTGAGCCCCGGGCAGGACTGTGGTGCATGGGAGCAAAGAATTTTCAGTAACCACCAGAGGCTCGCCCCAATGACAGCGACCAGCGCCCCACCTTGGTCTGGCATCTCTGCTCACCTGTTCCACCATCCTGCCACAACCGACACTCACCAGTACACATTGCCGCCTATTGCCGATGCCTGCCATGTTCCACACGTCCCCTGGTGGTCAGCACATGTCATAGCAACTGGTTGTTTGGTTGTTCTGTTGTTTGATCTATTTGCATATTAGCCTTTTACTATATAGGATTATACATATTAACATTCCTGGTATTAGTTATGTAGAAAAACTGTATAAAATATGAAAGTAAATTATGGTATCACAATGTGATAAAATATAATAGGCATAAACAGATACTAAAAGGAAGTACTGTTATATGAGATGACACAGATGAACCGCTATAGAAAACAGGTTCCTCAAAAAATTTAAAAAAGAAGTATCACATGATCCAGCAATTCTACTTCTGGTTATTTATCTGAAGAAACCAAAATCACTGACAACATGTAAACAACCTCCATTAAGTTTCCAGAGGTCAGTAAAACCAATAACTTTTATACATCTAAACTCTACTGCATTTCTTGAGGTCAGCAATCATGTCATCTACTTCTTTGTTAACTCACAGATCTTGAGGCAACTGAGCTTTTTGTGTACAATGTCCCTTCAATGACATGGACACACACACATCTCTGTACTTTATCCTGCGTGCATGCAGAAGAGAAATAGGCTTTAACCATCTGAGAAGCTGACTATGTATTACAAATACAGAAATCTTCTAAAAATGTTCTAAACATAATCACATAGGGTACTGAAATGCTCATCCAGAACAGGTGCAACATAGCGCTTGAGACATGAGATGCTGAACAAATGTTTATTAAAAGAAAATATATAAATGACCGTCTTCAACTCTGACTCACAGCTATTCTATTATTATGCTAAAAATGTTCCCTGAATTAATAATAGTTTTCATTTCACCAGCAGCCCTGTTCTAATCACTCTTCAATTTTCTACATCTGTCTGTCAGGTATTTGGAAGGAGGAAGTATTTCCTACGTATAATACATGAGGGAGTAATTCTAAGCAAATGAGTCAGACTGACCACACTAGGTTATAAAAAGGCATACAACAACAAAGAGAAAGGAAAAGAGAGATACAGAAGGGAACCAACATCTCAGAAAATGAAATATGGAGACAAAAATATAGATTATTTGTAGAATAGTCTATTCCTCTAGACCCTGGTGCCACACTGCCACTTTTCCTCCCCTGGCCAAAGAAAAAAATAAGGCTTCCCTTCTCGAAAAAATGAGCAGCTACTGAGAAAAGATCTCTACGAGTTGGCATTAGGAACTCGCACAGCACGATAGCCAGTTCCAAAGCCTCATGTCAACAATTCCAATCAATGACTGGAGTTCCCCATCAGTTTTTCAGTATCATGCTCTTTAAAATGAACAACCAGCAACCATTGTGCATTTGAAGAAAGCTACCACAAAAGAAAAAAAATAAATAAATAAAAAATTATCCAGTAGGAAACAAAAATAATGAGGAAAAAATATGAGGTTTTCTTTTTTACATTTTTCATCCTAATCAAGAAAATAGCATTATCAATTGGCTGGTGTGGCTCAGTGGTTGAGCATCAACCCATGAACCTGGAGGTCATGGTTCAATTCCCAGAAAGGGCTCATGCCCCGGTTGTGTGCTTGATCCCTAGTAGGGAAAGTGCAGGAGGCAGCTTGTCAATGTTTCTCTCTCATCAATGTTTCTCTATCTTCTACTTACTTCCACTCTAAAAGATCAATAAAAACATATTTTAAAAAGATAGCATATCCATAAAACAAGGAAGAAAAATTCAAGAATTAAAAAGAAGTTCTGGAAATTAAAAATTGATTACAGAGCCCAGCCGGTGTGGCTCAGTGGTTGAGCAGCAACCTATGACACAGGAGGTCACAGTTCGATTCCAAATTAGGGCACATACCAGGGTGCGGGCTACATCCCCAGTAGGGGCGTGCAAGATTCTCTCTTATCACTGATGTTTCTATCTCTCCCTTCCTCTCCCTTCCTCTCTCTCTAAAAATAATCAATAATATATATATGTATATAAATATATTTATACTTATAAAAGGATAATATGCTAATTAGAGTGGACATCTTCTGGACGTCCTTCCGGACAAAGCCACAGTGGCTGAAAGGGCTGAGGGTAAGCAGCCATGGTGGTGGCTGCAAGGCCCGGGGCTCAGGCAGCAGTGGGCTCCATCAGCCGACAGTGGCAGCAGCAGTGGGGTGATGGGTGTGGCGCCTTCCCCTGATCAGCCTGGTCACCTACTGCAGAGGGAGGCCAGAAGCAGCAATAGTGAGGGGGTGATGGGGAGCATGCCTCAGCTGTCAGTAAGACATCCCCTGAAGGCTCCCAGACTGTGAGAGGAGGTATGCTGGGCTGAAGGACCCCGCCCTCCAGAGCACAAATTTTCACGCATCAGGCCTCTAGTATATAATAATAAAAGTGTAATATGCTAATTAGACCAGAAGTCCTTCTAGGCAACCTTCCAGACAAAGCCACAGAGGTGGGGGTGGGGGCGAGCCCCTTGCACGAATTCCATGCATAGGGCCTCTAGTCCTACCTAATAAAGAGTAATATGCAAATTAACCAACACTCTGCTACACTCACAAGCCATGCCCACCAGCCAATCAGAGCAAGTATACATATAAACACAACCAAGATGGCTACAGCCACAGAGAGCAGGAGGGAGGCTTGGGTTTCCCCGGCAATGGAGGAAGCCAAGCTTTCCGCCTGCCCTTGCCGGCCTAAGCCTCCACTCAAGGATACAAAGTTTCAATTATAGAAGGTAAACAAATCCAAACAGAAATGGCGGCAGCCACGGAGCTAGAAAGAGGAGGCGGCTAAGGTTGCCCCCCACAATTGAAGAAGCAAAGCTTTCTGCACACCTTGTCTGTCCCAGGCCTCCACTCTAGGCTACAAAGTTTGAATTATAGAAGATACATAAGTCCCCACAGAAATGACTGCCAGCCTCAAAGCCAGCAGGAAGCTTGGCTCTACCCCAGGCTACAGTTTCAATTGTAGAAAATAAATAAATTCCAGATACCAGGGCCTCCACTTGAGCCGCCAGGGGGCGTGGCTGGCCTGCAAACCACCACAAGCCCCCTCTCTCAGGCCACCCCACACCCCAAGGGAACCCCCACCCTGATCCAGGACACCCTTTAGGGCGAACCAGCTGGACCCCACCCATGCACCAGGCCTCTACCCTATCTAATAAAAGAATAATATGAAGATTGACCATCATTTCAACACACAATATGGCTGCCCCCATGTGGTCAAAGTTCCTGCCCCTATGTGGACATAAGATGGCCACAAGATGGCCAACAGGGGAGGGCAGTTGGGAGGCATCAGGCCTAAAAGGGAGGGCAGTTGGAGGCGATCAACCATGCAGGGGAGGGAAGTTATGGGTGACCAGGCCGGCAGAGGAGGGAAGTTGGGGGCAAACAGGCTGGCAGGGGAGCAGTTAGGCATCAATCAGGCTGGCATGGGAGTGCTTAGGGGGCAATCAGGCTGGCAGGTAGAAGCAGTTAAGGGCAATCAGGAAGGCAGGCAGGAAGGCAAGCCAGCAGTCCTGGATTGTGAGAGGGATGTCCAACTGCCCACCGGGATTGGGCCTAAATGAGCAGTCGGACATCCCTCGAGGAGTCCCAGATTGGAGAGGGTGCAGGCTAGGCTGGGATCCACCCCCCGCCCTCATGCATGAATTTCATGCACCGGGCCTCTGGTATGTATGTGTGTGCATATTAAGTATAAAAGAAAAAGAAAGCCGAAACCGGTTTGGCTCAGTGGTAGAGCGTCCGTCGCGGACTGAAAGGTCCCAGATTCGATTCTGGTCAAGGGCATGTACATTGGCTGCGGGCACATCCCCAGTGGGGGATGTGCAGGAGGCGGCTGGTCGATGTTTCTCTCTCATCGATGTTTCTGGCTCTCTCTCTCTCTCCCTTCCTCTCTGTAAAAAATCAATAAAATATATATTTAAAAAAAAGAAAAAGAAAAAAAGAAGCAACAGCACATGATAATACAGGGTAAGAAAAAGAAAATCCAATTAGGAGGATGAGACATCTAGTAAACTGAATAATAGCCCCACAAAATGTCCACATCCTAATCCCTAAAACCTGTGAATATGTTACCTTGCAGGTGCAGATATGATTACTAGTAAGTTAAGGATCTTGAGATGGAAAGATTATCCTTGTTTATCTGGATGGGCCCAGTATAATCACAAGGATTCTTCTAAGAGACAGAGGCAGGTGAAGTGACAATGAAAGCTGAGAGAAAAAGGTCAAATTTTCCCACACTATTGGTTTTGAAGATGGAGGGGAAAGTCAAGAGCCAAGGTATACAGGTGGCATCTGGAAGCTAGGAAATACAAGGAAACAGATTCTCCTCTGAAGAGTCTGGAAAGAATGCAACCCTGCCAATTATCTTCACTTAGGATTGTGATCTTTAGAACCATAAGAGAATAAATGGATCTACCTTTATATATATAAAACCCTAATATGCAAATAGATCGAAAAGCAGATCAACTGAACAACCGGTCGCTATGACGTGAGCTGACCACCAGGGGTCGCGCACAGAACATGGCGGGCATTGGGAGCAAGAGACAGAGCACAGAAAATGGCAGGCATCAGCCGTGGTAGAACAGTGGAACAGACGAGCGGGGGCGCCAGACCAAGGCAGAGCGCTGGTCGCTGTAATCAAGGCGACCCTCTGATGCTTACTGAAAATTCTTTGCTCCCGCATGCCACGGTCCGGCCAGGCACTCACACCTGCTGCCAGCTCCAATGCTGCCGCTTACACCTGCTGCTGGTGCCTGGCACCGGTCCTGATTGCTTGGTGCAGTCAGCAGGTACGAGCAGAGGCTGCCAGCCCCGATTGCCCCTGAGAGCTTCTCCACCTCCCCCTGAGGGACTTGGGTACCTTCAGTGGGTGTGAGTGGGGCCAGCACTGTCAGCTCATGGGAGCAGCAGTGGCAGGAGCAGGGCTGCTGGCAGACAGGGGACCAGGAGCTGTGGCAGGAGAGGCTGGGTTGGGGTGCAGAGTATGGTCCAAGAATTGGCCCTGGGCCCACTGCAGCCTCGTGGCACACAATTCCTTTCAAGATGCATGAATTTGTGCAGTGGACCCCTATCCTAGATATATAAAAGGCTGATTTGCAAATCAACCAGTCACTATGACGTGCAATGACCACCAGGGGGCAGACCCACAGGGGGAGTGCTGCTCAGCCAGAAGTCAGGCTCATGGCTGGCAAGTGCAGCAGTGGGGGCAGGAGCCTCTCCCACCTCCACAGCAGTGCTAAGAATGTCCAACTGATGGCTTAGGCCTGCTCCCTGTGGGCCTAAGCTGTCAGTCAGACAGCCCCTGAGGTTTCCTGGACTGTAAGAAGGCGTAGGCCGAGCTGAGGGACTGCCGTCCCTGGCCCCTGGGTGCACAATTTCATGCACCAGGACTCTAGTATTATATAAGCAACTAAGTTTGTGGTAATACATTTCTACATCCATAGGAAACCAATACAAGACACCAAATGGAGAGACGACATCAGAGCCAAGAAGACAATCAAAGCACCCCAGCAGACAGCAGAACCCAGACATGTGAGACAAGCATCTTGGATGTTCCAGCTCAGCCCAGCCCAGGCATCAGTTGAAGCTGCATAAATGAACCCAGCTAACACAACATGGGCAGAAGAAATGCCCAGTTAATACGAAGAGTAGCATGCACAGATTTACTTTATAACCTGAAACAACTTTAAAACAGGACAACCCACATGAACCAGTGATTTTTCAGATACTGGGCATCAAGGAGCACAAGACAGTACTCCTTGAAACAAGGAAGCAAATAATTCCCAGTTTACTGTTTGGAGAGTTTTCAGAATATGTTGCAAAATAGGACAGGGAATTCTAAACAAAGCCTGGGTATGGTTTAAAGGCATAAAATGGCAGTGATGAGAGACAGCTCTCTAGAAATCTACCTACAGAGATTCTACTTGTGGATGCCTCCATTTTCCAACCCCCTCTTTAACTAGACCATACTCCACAACCTTAAGACACTTTTAGGAAAACTTGTTCCGGCATCCATACTACCTGTATCTATTCTTAAATCCTGCTTTCTTGATCAGTGGCTCACTATACCTATCTCACTGTTTCATTTTGATGCCTTCCTTAATGCAACCCTTGCATAAACCAAAAGCTATGAGTTTAAAATAAGTGTGAAACATTTGTATAGAAATTAAGATAACTGCAAACAGGGATTTACACAAGGCCAGGATCTTTATATAAGACCAGGAGTGGGCTTGGGTATGTGTTTCAAATACAGTGAAAAAGTGCAAATGTGGTGCAGTTACATAATAACAGACAAGGTTATCTGAAGAGCCATCACAGAGTACCACCTACAGGACACAAATGGGAAGACAGCCTTACCTTTGCTCTATCAGACCATCCAAAGGACTGCACTGTTACATCCAATCGCTTCATCAACATCCGCCGACGGCACTCATATTCACAGGAAAGAGCATCGTTGATTCTTTCCAGTTGTTCCTAAAGAATTTGGAAACAAATATCATCAATTTTAGGTTCTTTCATTTTGCAAAGAAAAGAAGTTTTAAAATTATGGTCAATACCTCCTACTGATTCAAAAAGATACTGTACTTGAGGACCATTTTCTGATCCCATGAGATTTTTCATTAAATTACACAAATAATAAAGAGTATTTGATAGAACATTTGTGATATTCAGTATATATTAAACATATAAGTTAAATTTTACAATTGGTGAATTTACCTCATCTTCAATCAAATGTGTTAAGTAAGACATATATCAATACTTGCTAAGTAATAGAGACCAAAAAGGAAAGAAAATACAAATAATGTCCTAGCTTGCTGGTTTTGAACTACTATCCTTTTCAAATCATAATTATACTAAGCCAAGACCGGTTTGGCTCAATGGATAGAGCGTCGGCTTGGGGACTGAGGGGACCCGGGTTCGATTCCGGTCAAGGGCATGTGCCTTGGTTGCGGGCATATCCCCAGTAGAGGGTGTGCAAGAGGCAACTGATCAATGACTCTCTCTCATCGATATTTCTGGCTCTTTATCTCTCTCCCTTCCTCTCTGTACAAAATCAATAAAATATATTTTAAAAAAATTTTAAAAAAATCATAATTATACTAATATCCTGGGCACTATAAAAAACTCTTGGCCAGATATTTTAAAAAGTAATAATCAGAGTGAAGAAGTGTTTGGACTTATCTGTATATATAAAATACTAATAAGCAAAAAGACAAAATGGTGGAACAACTCAACAACCAGTTGCCATGACGTGTGCTGACCACTAGGGCATGCGCACGAACATGGCAGGCATCAGCAGCAGACGGCAAAGCACAGAACATGGCAGTCATTGGCACAGTGGGATAGTGGAGCAAGTGAGCGGGGGCGCCAGACCAAGGTGGGGCTCCGGTCGCTGTCATCAGGGTGAGCCTCGGATGGTTACTGAAAATTCTTTGCTCCTGCACACCGCAGTCCCCCAGGCACTCACACCTGCTGCCGGCGCAGGCCTCGCTTGTATCTGCTGCTGGCGCTGAAACCGCCTCTCACACCCACTGCCAGCTCTCGGCACTGTCAGTGGGTGCAAGGAGCAGCTATTGGCCCTATCGTTCCTCAGAGCTTTTCCACCTCCCCCTGCTCCTGCGGGGCAATTGGGGCAGCAACCACCAATCACATCCACTGATGGCGTTGGCCCCGCTCGCACCTGCTGCTGGTACTGCACCCAATCCCTCCGCTCCATCAGCAGGTGTGAGAGGGGCGGGACGGAGCGTGGCTGCTGACAGACAGAACCAGGGACTGTGGCGGGAGGAGCCAGGCGGAGATGTGGAGGATGAGCCAAAATGGATGGACCCCTGTTCCCACCAAGCCTCACAACCTACAGTTCCTTTTAAGGTGCACAAATTCATGCATTGGGCCTCTGGTTATTCTAAATACCAATTCATTTTAGTTTTCCAAAATAACATATGCACACTACATACTGTAAACTCTAAATGCTTATTTTAAAATTAAGTCATATTCACTAGGTGAATTACACACAACTAATAAAATGTGGGTGATGGGGACTTACTGTTTGTTCCATATTTAAATCCATTTTCAACAGTGGTTTTCCCACATGATTTTTCTGGACTTTTGAGAGAATATCTTTCACCTAAAAGTAAATATAAATAGATTGTGAAAATGTATACCGTATTTTTTGGACCATAAGACGCACATTTTTCCCCCCAGAAGTGGGGGGAAAAAGTCCCTGCGTCTTATGGTCCAAATATAGCCTACACATATATTGAAATACTTTAAAAAAAAGTTTTTTTACTTGCCCGGCTCTGTGTGGTCTCTGTGTGCTTGCCCGGCTCTAAAATGGTTCTAAATGCTGCTGTTTACTTTACAGGGTTGATTACATGTGTTTATGACTGTGATGTTGGGTTTTAATGCACATAAAATATTTTAGGACACTATTTGTTTCAGAATCTTTTTTTCTTCATTTCCATTCTCTAAAAACTAGTGCGTCTTATGGTCCGGAGCGTCTTATGGTCCGAAAAATACGGTATTCTCTAATTTAAAACAATTTTATTCTTTAATGCTATAGAATAAATATGTTAAAGTAAAATAACCTTAGCCCTAACCAGTTTGGCGCAGTGGATAGAGCATTAGCCTGCAGACCAAGGGTTCTGGGTTCGATTCCAGTTAAGGGCATGTACCTTAGTTGCAGGCTCCTCCCCAGTCTGGACCCTGGTCGAGGCTCTTGCAGGAGGCAACCAATCGATGTGTTTCTCTCATATCAATATTTTTCCTTGACTTTCCCTCTCTTCTCAACTCTCCCTAAAAATAAATGAAAAATATTCTCGGGTAAGGATTAACAAAAACAAAAAACAACAAACAAAATATAACATATTTTTACATACAAGGAAAGAATATCACTACAAAGCAGAATATCTTTTTTGCTTTCTTAATATATATGAAAGGACAGAAACATCAATGATGAGAGAGAATCACTGATTAGCTACCTTCTGCACACCCCCTACTGGGAATTGAGCCAACAGGGCATGTGCTTTTGACCAGAATCAAATCTGGGCCTCTTCAGTCAGCAAGTGGATGGTCTATCCACTGAGCCAAACAATCTAAGGCCAGAATATCTTTTTCAAAGAGCATTAGAGTTGGAGGCTTGGATTTTCTTAAGATGGCACTCTCTTAAATCCTGGAAAATGCTCTAAAAGGATACCTTTGATGAGCACATTGATTTTTCTCAGTTAAGTATTATGTACACATTCCAATTGTAAGTATTCTGGTTTCATTGTTCAGCAGGCCACCATAGGAGTCCAAGCCCACTCACTTATCGTAACCACATACAAATTTCATTATTTTTGCAAACACATAAAAATATAGAAATATTTCCTTTTGATAGATGCTGAATGGAAAAGGAAGTCCTTTTACCAGTAAGTAAATATTTAGCCACAATGACCCCAGTAACAACTACCTTATAATTAACTTGTCAGCATTTGAACAGAGGCATTATAGCCTGCCTTAAGGAGGGAAAAGAGGTTTGGGGAAATTATTAATACTAACTGGAACCCATAAAAGGAAAGGAAAAAGCTTTTAGAAAGAGGCCAGAAATCTGTTTCATTCTGAAAGAGTCCCAAACATTTTAGCCAATACCAGATCATTCCTAATCCAGAGGAAATGAGGAGAAAAGAAACATTGAAGAGTAATATGTTAACTCTAGAACAATGTTTTTTGAGCTGGGATTTTCTTATTCTTTTAGCTGTGCCCATCTGGTGTGGCTCAGTGGTTGAATGTTGACCCAGGAACCATGAGGTCACTAGTTAGATTCCCACATGGTTTGCAAGTTCTACCTCTGCCCCCAAAAAAGTTTCTAATATTGCTTTCATCTTAATAATACTATTGTAAAATTCTCTCACATTCATTAAGGCAAATATTTTTCTTTTCAGTTCATAAAAAAAAAAAAAAATCAATGGAAAAAAATAACTTTATTTATTGAAAGTTTTAGTTTAAAGCAGAGTGTCTAAACATGGAGTGAGTGTCAGTACCTATTCTTAAGGGTGAGAATTTTCTTTTCCTTTAAAATAAACCCTATAATATTCCCTTGCTCCTACAAAACCTAGAAAGTAGGTCAGAATTTAGTCTGTGAGAGTAGAATTCTTTCTAACATATGGCTCAACTAAGAAAAAGGGTAATTTAATAATTGAAAATAACTCAAAAAGCTTGAAGTAGGTAGTTTGTGGTTATTTTCACTCCATCAAAATACTCATTCATTCACTCTACAACAAACATTTACTAAATACTTATCCACCAGAAACTGTGCTATCAAAGAGAACTACATTGCAATTCTATTAACAATATCCACTAAAAAAATTTAATTTGACTTTGACCTTAGAGGATAATTCTACTTGTTTCACTATGTTGTATTTCAATCTTGTGTAGGAAAGAAAGACTTAAATTTGCAAAGCGATTTCTATCATGCAACTCTCAAAAGCCTGAGGCAGATTAGGTCACATACATATTAACTCCAAATCCAAAGTTGTTTTCATGAAGATAAACTCTCTTGAAATGGAATGTATCTTATAGTTAAAGGAAATATTTTCATTTTTAATACAACATTTCCATGTTAGCATTTAGTTGAATTTTGGAAAAATAAAAATAAAACAAATACAATACCTTTGACTCCACTTGGTTTAACATAAGTGGAATGTCAGAAGTCGCTGAGTTGGGAACACCAAGGGTATCACAGATAGCTTGAACTTCCTGATAAATTTCACTGTTTTTATCTAATTGAGAATTTTTACGTTTCTTGTTTTGTAATATCTGTAAAGCTTGAAGTTCTGTACTTAAAAATACTATAAGAAAAAGGAAAAACAAATAATGTTAAAATATACACAAACTTCTTAAAAATCACATTTCTGGGTATATATCCAAAGGAACGGAAATCAGGATCTCAAAGAGATATGCATTACCATGTTCACTGCCATATTGTTCACAATAACCAAGATATAAAAACAACCTATGTTCTTTGACAGATGAATGGGTAAAGAAAATGTGATATATACATACAAAGGAATGTTATTCAGCCATTAAAAAGACGGAAATCCAGCCATTTGTAACAACATGGATGAACCTGGAGGCCACTGTGCAAAGTGAAAAAAGTCAGACACAGGAGTACAAATACTTCATGTCACTGTGATGAGAAACCTAAAACAGTCAAACTCATAATATAGAAAGTAGAATAATGGTTGCCAGAGGCAGGATGAAACAGAGTTATTAGTCAAATATAAATTTTTAAGAACTAATAATGTTTTAATGAATTTTTAAAATCAGAGGGACCTTGGCATAAGTCCCCATAAGCCAAGTTGGATACATAGTGATCAGATTATATAACGTTAAGTCCTAGAGATCCACTACTTCATAGCATTGTGGCTACAGTTAACAGCACTGTACTGTAATTTTTAAATATTTAAAAATTTGCGACGAGGATAGATCTTATACTGTATTCTTAACACACAAAATAATAATAATAAAGTGCACCGAAACCGGTTTAGCTCAGCGATAGAGCGTCGGTCTGCGGACTGAAAGGTCCCAGGTTCGATTCCGGTCAAGGGCATGTACACTGGTTGCGGGCACATCCCCCGGTGGGGGGTGTGCAAGAGGTAGCTGGTCGATGTTTTTCTCTCATCGACGTTTCTAGCTCTCTATCTCTCTCCCTTCCTCTCTGTAAAAAATCAATAAAATATATTTTAAAAATAATAATAATAATAATAATAATAATAATAAAATGGAAGAAAACAAACAAAAAGACTGTGCCTACCCATAGTTTAAAGTGCAGTAGGAGAGACACACCTGTAAATCAATAATTTAAGAATGTATAAAAATGTGTAATATTCTGATAATATATTCTCTCTTTCATATGCACAGACTGCTCAAGCCAAGGGAGAACCTGTAACTCTAACTAATCTACAAGCAGATAGAGTAATCTGAGTAATTATCTGCCTTCAGGATAGACCACCCCTTTACTGTCACCATTTCATTTAAGTCTTTCAACGGACATATTTAAGAAAATTACTCAAAATTTTAAGATGGTTATAGTCTTATTTTAAATTAACTTTCATCAGAGTTGTTAAAATATTAGGGTTCTGCTTGTCTTTATTTGTTTAAAGTTACACACACACACACACACACAGTTTAACACAGTAATTTCAACTTCAGCTAAGCAGAAGTATCTGAGAAACTTTAAAAGTATATAGTAAGTGCCAGGATCCCATCCTCAGAGATTCTGGACACATCTGAAGTAGGAGTAGGACATCTGTGGTTTGTTTTACATCTAAGGTGATTTTCATGGGCAGACAAAATTGAGAGACACTGATTTAAAGACTTCTCCATGCAATCTACACATCAGACTGTCTAAAGAGAAAACAAAAACCTTAAGTCTAATAAGTATTAAACTTTGCTTATGAAGATATGGCAAGGTCCCTCTGATTTCAAAATTTCATAAAACAAATCACCAGTTCTTCAAAAATTTGTATTCTTTCTAGAACCTTGGCTGAAGTCTGCCTTGTCCTATGGAAGCAAGCTCTATGTAAAAGTATAAGCAAGAGTTCAATCTAGTATTTAAAATGCTAATCTATGCAGATGGTAAACAATACAGTAAAAGTCTTCCCACCACAGATCCTCAGATTCTCCTTTCCCTGAGGCAATCACCATTAGTTTCTTGGCTATCTTTTTAGGTATATATGTGTATGTATATTTAGCATATGTATCTACCACCTATGCTCTTTAATTTATTTTCTACAAGACATAGTACTACAAATGTTCTGTATATTCAATTTTTATTTGCCAATATAACTTAGAGACCATTCCACATCAGCACATTTGATCTATTCTCATTCTTATAGCTATAAAACAGTAACATTGCAAAGATGTGTATCACTTCAAAGATGTACCATCACTACTTAACTACTACAAACAATGCCATAGTGAACATTCTTTTCATATATCTTTGTACACTTGGGGAAATAAATATGTATATCTAATCATAAAATTGCTAAGCCAAATGGCAGGTGAATTTCAATGGTATTAATAAACCCTCCCAGAGGTTGTACCAGTTATTCTCCCACCACATTCTAATGCCTATAGTATATGAGAATGCTTATTCCCCCAAACTTTATTATGACTTAAAAAAAAACTTTGGGGGTGGGGGAGTATTTGCTAGCCTGATAAGTGGAGGGGAAAATGATACCCTGTCATTTTATTTTTTTATAACTCTTTAACTTTGAGGGATATTATGCATCTTTTCATGTTTAACAGTGATTTAATTTTTTTTTTTTTTGTAGAATGCCTTTAACTTATGTGCATTATATATTTTTCCTTCTTGATTTACAAAAGTTCTCCACATAGTAAGGAATTTGGCCCTTTTTATTTTATACATGTTGCACACACTTCCAAGAAGATAAAGAGGTTCTTACATATGTTTTCAACACACTCAAACTAAAGATAAAAATGGAATAAATGCTGGTAAAATTGTGAACTGGTATAGCCTTTCTGGAGCAAAATACGGCAATATATACTTAGACCAGAGATCTTTTTTTTAAATGTTCATAATCTAGCCCTAGCCCGTGTGGCTCAGTGGACAGAACATCAGCCCTCAGACTGAAGGGTTGAGGGTTCAATTCTAGTCAAGGGCACATACTGTGATTGCAGGCTCAATCCCCAGCCCGGGGCCGGGGCATATGCAGAAGGCAACTAATCAATGTGTCTCTCTTATATCAATGATTCTCTCACATTGTCTCAGTCCTTCCACTCTCTCTAAAACGTCAGTGGAAAAATATCCTCAGGTGAGGATTAACAAAAAGAAAGTTCACAAGCTAAGTAAAAGTAATCCAAAATTATAAAGAAATTAATGTAAAATAAAAAAATAAAATAAAACACCCAAACTTGCCCTAACCAGTTTGGCTCAATGCATAGAGAGTCGGCCTGTGGACTCAAGGGTCCCAGGTTCAATTCCGGTCATGGGCATGTATCTTGGTTGCTGGCACATACCCAGTAGGGAGTATGCAGGAGGCAGCTGATTGATGTTTCTCTCTCATCAATGTTTCTAATTCTCTATCCCTCTCCCTTCCTGTCTGTAAAAAAGTCAATAAAAACATATTTTAAAAAACACCCAAATGTGAAACCTATTAAATAAATATATGTCCATAGCATAGAATGTTATGTAACCAATTTAAATATTTTAAAAATATTAAATGATGGGGACATGTTCACAATATATTAATTGAAGAGGAAGAGGAGAAGGTACTATATCTGTAACAAGATCTCAATTTTATTTAAATGTGGTGGACAAAGGAAAGAGAGAAGGGAAAGAAAATATGCCAAAAGGTTAATTCACAATTCTCTCTGAGAAGTGAGATTATAAATGATTTTGTTCTTTACAATTTTATCTATTCTGTAAGATTTCTATAAGCATGCAATTTCTTTATAACATCATAAAGTTTACCATTCTATTTTTTAAGTGTACAATGGCATCAAGTACATTCACACTGTTGTGCAACTATCATCAGATCCATCTCCAGAACTTTTTCATCTTCCCCAGTTAAAACTCTGTACCCATTTAACACTAACTCTTCAACTTACCCTATCCCCAAGCATGTATTTTTACAATCAGAAAAGCTATAACAACTTCTCCTATATCTCCTCTTTAATTTTACTTGCACCAGAAGCCTATCTTACCATTACTGCTGAGCTTCTTTACAGTTAAGGCAAAAAGGGAAATATGATGAATTCCATAGTTCTCACTGACTGGCATAAAGAACATTCAAGTTCCTCTAGGCCAGTGTTTCCCAAACTTTTGACATATGTGTACCCCTTCTATAATTTTCATAATGCTGAGTACCCCTTGTACTCATGAGAACGTAGAATTAGGCGCAGCTAAGCAAGGTGCAGTGCCTATCCCCACCAAACTCTTCCCTGGGGGTATGCGTACCACACTTTGGGAAACACTGCTCTAGGCCATGCTTTTTAGCTTCCTTTCTATTCCAATAAACCTAAGGGATACTGTGACCTCCCATTAATAGCAATGGTTCATTAAGTTAGTGACTCACACTGAATAAAAGAAAATAGTATAAGAAATTAGGGGGAAGACATAATATTTATTCCACCCAACACACAACGTAATTCAGATGTCAATACTTCCAGCCTCATCACTAGTTAAACACACACAATTCCTGCTCTAGTGCAACAAACATCACTAACACTGGAGTCTACAAGGAATATATTACAGGGATCTTTTTATAAATGGAACAACCTAAAACAATAGAAATCTTCAATAACAGATGTCAGAGAAATTCTTTCAAATGGTCACTGTTTGCAGAACTTTGAGAAGAGCATAAAATTTAACTGAACTAAAAAAGTTTTGAAGGAACCTAGTGCAAATAAATGGATTTTTATTAATGGTAGTTGTTTGGATATAGAGTAATTTTACTCCAAATTAACCCCTAATGAAAAGAGGCCACACTTGTCCAGGCCAGGTAGCTCAACTGATTAGAGCATCATTCTACTCCAAGGTTGTGGATTCAATCCCCAGTCAAGGCACATACAAGAATTAACCAAAGAATGTATAGATAAGGAGAACAACAAATCGATGTCTCCCGGCCCCCCTTATTCTCTTTCTCAAGATCAATAAATAAAAATCTTAAAAAATGAAAAAGGGCCACACTCAGTAGAACTCTTGTGGTCCAAGGGTGCTTTTTTTTTTTTTTTTTAGTTGATATATCACTATGCCAAGAGTAGTTTCTGGTACAATAGTAAGTGATCAATACATATTTCTGAACCTATTTATACCATTATCACTCAAAGACTATCACTAAAGCAAGATCTAATAATCTGCTTAGTAGTCTAGTTTCAAAGAATTTTATGATTTAATAGAATTTTAGAGATCAAAAGCTTTAGCCACCTAGACACAAATGCTAAGAGATTCATTAATTGAAAAAAAAATTATTAAAATACTACATAAATCACAAACAGCTCAAATAAATCATAAGTGTTAGAAGTCTTACATTAGTAGAATTCCTTAGTAGAATGTATACTACCTTTATATAAATATCCAAGTCAACTTCATATTTTAAGTCAAATATTAAAACCTTTTAAATAGATAAGATATCTAATGCTTCATTAATAAAATTTCATAAATTTTGACTTAAAAAATTTAAAACAAAGATCAAATACATGCATTTAAATGTTCAAAGAAAGAACTTACATAGAAGTTTCAAGCAGTCATCCTTCTTTTTTAGACGCTCTTTAATATCTCCTGATATGAGTACAGAATATGGACATGCCATTTCTTTTAAAAAACCACTTATCTCAAGCTGGAAGCTTTCTAGATCATCTCTCCCTTTAAAAAAGTAAAATCACAAAACATTTACTGAATATTTACCATATAATCTATACATTCATTTCAATTTCACATTCAATTCTAAATTTTCCTTTTGACATTAAATCCTTACATGTGTGACCCAAAATAATTTCTACATTTAGAAAGTCACACTTAAATTCAGAAACGTAAGTATCAATTTAAGAATATAAATATGTAATTGTAAGATTATAAATATTTTTATATTTAAATTTGATTAGTATTTTCCAATATATGTTCCAAAAGCAGATAAAATAGGAATACTTTTGTATGAGTAATGAAAATATTAAAAGCATTATTATGGCTATAATTATTAACTGGCTTCAGAGCTAATGATATTTCTATGGATTCAGATCATAAATGCAGATCTAACTAAGCCTCATTGCTTATCTTTCTTTCATAACCTAATTATATGGGAGCCTGTGTCATGTGATTTGAAGTTAGTTTATCTTACTTAGTTTCAAAGGAATTCTATTAGATTTGGCAAGGGGGAAAAAAAGCAATATAAAAAGACAGCTTCAAAAGAGAAGTCTACTTTGTCCCCTAGCAAATGCCCAATAATTTATTTTTTCACTTTATTACACCATCTGAAATTCTACCAGACCCACAATGACTCCAATTATCAATACAGCAATGCATTAAATTTTATGAACAAGTACAGGAATCCTATATAATAAAGATGTGATAAGCAAATTAGTCCTCATGCCCTCACAAGATAGCTGCCTACGACCAGGCCGGCAGGGGAGTTAGTGAGGGACAATCAAATGATGAAAAGCAGGCTGTGTGGGGAGACCAGGTTGGTGGGGGGAGGGGGAGCCATGAGGGGCAACCAAGCCGGTGGGGGGAGCAATTGGGGGCAATCAGGCCAGCAGGGGGGACATTTGGGGGTGACCAGGCCAGCAGGGGAAATCAATTGGGGGTAACTGTAATCAGGCTGGCAGGGGGGAGCAGTGAGGGGCAACTAGGCCAACGGATGAGGCAGTTGGGGGCAACCTGGCCAGCAGCAAGGGACAGTTAGGGACGACCAGGAAGGCAGGCAGGTGAGTAATTAGGAGCCAGCGATCCAGGATTCTGAGAGGGATATCCGACTGCTGGCAGTCAGACATCCCACAAGGGGTCCAAATTGGAGAGGGTGCAGGTTGGGCTGAGGCGACAACCCCCCCTTGCACAAATTTCATACACCAGGCCTCTAGTATTTTATAAAAGCATTCCTATGTGAATCCAGATCCTAAATTAGGGATTACCTGTACTTAAAAAAAAACCACAACAAAACCCCACCTTAATTCAAAAAAGCAGCATTCAAAAATTAAACTTCTTAAATAACCAAATTCAGTCTACTTTTTCTTAAAAATATTAAGGTTAAGAAATCAGATAAACAGAAATTGTTTATAATCTTATACAAATTTTAAAAATGAATTTTGGATTAATATAACATTTAATCCAAAGATATTTAATACAATATACTGAAGTTCTTAATATTAATGATTTTTCTTTGTATAGATTTTCCTTTTTCTAGATAAAACTGTAAATCATAAGCTATCATTTCATTTTATTATTAAACAAAAAAGTAAAAAAAACACAATGGCAATACCAGCTGAAGTGATACTTTCTTCCAAGTTGCATAATGATTTTATTTGAGAGCCTAACCAAACACAGAGGTCTGAAAACTCAGGTGAAGATAGTCCACCCTCAGCTGCCTTGGTAAGGGCTTGCTCTTCTAACAGTGGTCCCTTATACCTAAAAAGAAAGAGATATAAAAGGTTAAAAATGAACAAAAACCTCATATTCTGCATCATAGCCTACTGCCTGTTTTTGTAAATAAAGTTTTATCAGAGTACATCTGATAAATGTATCCATTTACAGACTATCTCTGGCTGCTTTCACCCTGCAATGGCAGAGTCCAGTCATTGTGACAGAGACAGCATGGCCAGCAAAGCCTAAAATTTCTACTATCTGCTCTGTTATAGAAATGGTTTACTGATTTGTGCTCTATCTAATTAACATTTGGCTTTTTCCCTATATTTTAACATCTTTTAGTAAAATTATCGTCCAATTTTAAGAGAAATATTACATATAATAAAGTCAAATAGAGCTAAATCTAATCATTATCCTGGTTACAAGAATAAGAAAAAAGGAAGTAGTGACAAAACAGATGCAAAATTTAAATTTAAAAAATTAAAGTTGAAAAAGACCTATGAGATCATTTTAATCTAAACCTTTTTTTTTTTTTTTTTACTAGAAGTCCAGTGCACAGATTCATGCACTGGTGGGCATGGCATGTAGGGATGGATCAGCCCCCTGTGTCATCCTGGTCAGCTGAGCAGTGAGCATATCACCCCTAGTGGTCAGTGCACATCATAGCAACTGGTTGACCAGTTGTTCTGGGCGTTCTGCCATTCAGTCACTGGGCTTTTATGTATATAGATACTTTCAAACACTGCTACAAAGTATACTTGAATAGTACCTTAAATTTTTTAACCATCTTATAAATTATCTTAATTGAATTAAGTATCAGTTTTCTACTTTATTCCTCTTTCTGCAATTGAGCTTTTATTTCACATTATAAACATATTTGATGGGTTTTAATCCACTGTAGTTATTTTTCTTTTCAAACAGTCCTATCTTTGGTTACTGAGAGGCCATTCTTGTTTGATTTATCCCCAGTATTCTTTGAATACTTTCCTTGATTTCTTTGACAAGATGTTCTTGTCCTGTACTTGTAATTGGCCATTTCTCCAAGATGCCCTGATTCTTTTTAATGGTGTTTAGAGTACACAACCTGGTACTAAAGGTTAGTCACTGTGTCTGAAGCTTTTTCAAAGGACTTATATCAGGATTTCACATTGCTATTTACAATTCAAACTTAGAATTGTGGGTTTTTTACCTAATTTGTTTTGTATTTTTATCTATTTTCTATAAAATTGTGGTTTTTTACTATTTTTATCTATTTTCAATTTAAAAAAATATGGTTTCTAATGGCATTTATATAATCCTAGTAAAAAATATTAAGTTACATATAGTTTCAGAGTAGAAAAATCAGCATTTTTACTAACAACAAAATCACTGAAAACAATTTATGTTTTTATGTTTTAGAATGTATTCCAGTAAGGACATATTTTTTTTAAGTTCCTATCTGTGATTAAACCACCTACTCAACGTATTGACAGACCTTTGTTTCATTTTGCTTTAAAATTCAGAAATTTGTCTCATTTTGTCCTGATTTCATTTTTAATTTTGCTCTATAATTACGTAATTATATGGTTTCAAAGTCTAGTTTACAAAACAAGGTACATTCAGACAAATCTACTTAGCAATCTCAATTGTGTTCCCTCTACTCTAGTTCCTTCCCTCCCCCAAAGGTAACCATATTTATTAGTTTTGGGATGTCATTCCACAATGTTTTTAAAAACAAACATAAATATACTTTTCCTTTTTTTTAGATAAAAGGTAGCCTACTACATACTGTCCTATTCCATGCTTTAAACACATATATATTCACATACACATATTTGCATACCAGTGGCCCAGAGCACGAAATTCATGCATGGGGGGAGGGGGGAAGTGTTCCTCAGCTCAGCCTGCACCCTCTCCAATCTGGGACCCCCTCGAAGGAAGTCCTACTGCCGGTTTACAGGGATCGGGCCTAAGCTGGCAGTCGGACAACCTTCTCGCAATCTGGAACTGTTGGCTCCTAACCACTCACCTGTCTGATTGCCCCTAACTACTCTGCCTGACGGCCTGCTTGCCCTCAACTGCCCCCCGCCACCAGCCTGCTCGCCCCCAAATGCCCCTCCATGCCAGAGTGCTCGCCCCCAACTGGCTTCCATGCTGGCCTGCTCATCCCCAACTGCCCCCATTGCTGGCCTGCTCGCTCCACTTTCCCTCCCCACTGGTCTGCTCACCCCCAACTACCCCCTGCTGGCCTGCTCACTCCAAACTGCCCCCCACACACACACTGTCCTGATCACCTCCATCTGACTCCCACTTACGGCCTGCTCACCCCCAACTGGCCTCCCTACTGGTCTGCTTACCCCTAATGGCCCCACCCCCCACCAGCCAGATCACCCACAACTGCGGTCCCATCCTGGCCTGATCACCCACAACCGCCCCCCCCCCTTTGGCCTCTACCTGCCTCTACCTCAGCCCCACCACCATGGCTTTGTCCAGAAGATCTCCTGGAAGGTCTCCCAGACTAATTAGCATATTACCCTTTTATTAGTATAGATACTAGAGATCAATAGAAATACTACTCAATCATTTTTATTGTCATATAGTACCTCTGTCTGGATGCACCCTATTTTATTCACTTTGCCCTTACTGAAGGACATTTGCGTTAGTACATTGTTTTCCTATTATAAAAACTGGCAGATTTTTGTCAGCATATATTGATATTTGGGATAGAGTCCTGGAATTAGGACTGTTAGGTGAAAGAGTAAATGGATATGTAATTTTGCAGGATACTATTATATTTTCCTCCATAGAGGTTGTATAAGTACCCATTCCTCATAATTCACCATAGTTAATTTGGATTTTTGACTATCTGGTATCTCAGTATAGTTTTAATTTGCATTTCTCTTATGAGCAAGGCTGTACATCTTTTCACATGTTTATAGGCCATTTGCATTTCTTTTTATCTGAATTCTCTAGCGGTATCTCATAAAGTATATTTTCAAACCTCCATTTTACAGGTAAGAAATTAAGGGTTAATGAGGTTAGTATTCCTACTTTATAAGTACTAGGCCAGACACAGTGCTAGTAATATATATATATATATATATATATATATATATATATATATATATATATATATGTGTGTGTGTGTGTGTGTGTGTGTGTGTGTGTGTATATGTATGTATATATATTCATATTTATAAATACATTTATTTATAATTCATTTAATGTTTACAACAATAATTTGAAATTAGTATTATCCTAATCCTGGGTCATAAAGTAACTAGATGATGACATAATATAACTTAAACCCAAATATGACCCCAAATGTCCATGTGAACTATAAACTGCTGGCTACACTAATAAGGAAACTAAGCCAATAACCTGGCTAAGTTATGCAGCTGGGTAAAGGCAGAGCTGGGAATAGACCACTGTCTTTGCTCCTTTAGCCAAGACTGGTTCCTCTATGCAATTACCTTTCTTCCATGTCTTACAGTGCCTTTCATTGAGATTTAATTCATAAACATCTTTATTTCCCCCTATTTGCTTGCATTTCTGCAATAATCATAAACTCTTGAATAAATGTATCTAATTCATATAGTTGGTGATATTTTAACTCAAATGCCAACCATAATTAAACAAACTGATTAAATCACCAGAAATAAATAATTTAGAGGGAGAAAACCTCACAATCCTTAATGCCTCTGGGTTCATCAGATCGATATAAAGGAAAAGAAAAAAAAATGCATTTAACAAACCTAACATCTAATAGCAATCACAATACAACTAAAATTTATAAACAGCTCTTATGGTGGTAGGCCAGTGTTATGTGCGTTATGTATATGGCCTCATTTAATTGCCATAATGTCCTAAAAGGTATTATTATTATTATTATTATGCTCGTAGTTTGTTCAATATATTCTTGTTTAATTAGGAAAGTGCTACTCTTATTCCAAACACTGCAGAAACCTCCCCTAGGCTTAGACTCCCCCAGAAGTCCTCCATACAGTGGAACCATAGCTGCTGGTCTGACACTTCAAACTGGCTGATCCAATCTTCAATCTGTGGAAAACCTCCACAAAGACACAGCCAGATTCTACCTTACTTTGCTTTCTATTTGAATTAGGCAGTATACTAGCATAAAACATGAGATCCTTTCCCGTCATCTGCCCAACCTATTGGCTTGCTTCCAATCCAGTTCTCCACTTCTCCCTGCTTCCCAAGTTCTTCCGCTGTGTTGCATCCATAAACAGCAACTGTCCTATGCTGTCAATCCCTTTCAGAAAGATTACCCCAACCACTTCTAGCTTTGGTTAGTTTACTCTCTCAATCAGATGGCAAGGTCTGTCCTCTTTGCTTTCCAATGTAACATCCGTATCATTGCTCCCTCATATTCGTAAAAATATCTCCAGCTCTCTCCAGGCTCAAGCCAGTCAGATTCGCCACCCTCTTTCTCTTGTAATTTTCGTCTACCAATCTCTTAGGTACTCCCCAACATTCCCTGTGCTCACTTTTCCTTTCCATTACTTTTTTTTTTCATTATATTAAGTTTCTTCAAAGCCCACATGTATACCCTCTCCATTACCCTGAGCTCTCAATTCTCTTAACTTCCTCTTTTCCATCCTTTGCCACTACATCCTAGACCTTACTATCACCTGGAACTACTCCACCTTGGAAATCATTAATTCAAATATGTCACTTCCTGACCACATCCTACTATCTATCTTTTCAGCTTGCTCTTTTGACCAGTCACCTACAACTACACTTTTATATCACCTCTACCTCCACATTCTCTGCATTTACTAGCTCCCTGCTATCTTCACTTTCTTCCCTATTCAATTTAGATTTTAATATATACTTCATTGTGGTGCTAAATAAATACCTACTGCAGAAATGAATCCTTGATATCATCATCTCCTCCAGCTCTAATATCCAATCAATCACTAAGCCCTATAAATGCACTTCTTTCCATATCCACTGCCACTAAGAAACCATCGCTTCCTGCCTAGAGTGACTAAATTCCCCAATCCACTCTCCACCTTCCTGACAGAGGTAACTTTTCAAACTAGACATCTAATCACTCCCTTTTTTAAAATCCTTCAATCGTAAAGATGGCGGCATAGGTAAGCACAGTACTCGTCTCCTTCCACAACTACATCAAAATTACAATTAAGCTACATAACAACCATCATTCAGAACCGCCTAAAATCTGGCTGAACAGAAGTTGTACAACCAGAGGATTAAAGAAGCAGCCACAGTAAGACTGTGAGGGGAATGGGCAGCTCTTCTGGAAGGAGAAGAGAGGGAGCAAGAAACTGAAAACCTATATGAATAAATAATGACAGAAAATTTCCCTTACCTGGTGAAAGAAATAGATATATAAGTTCAAAAGCACAGAGTCCCAATTAAGATGAACCCAAAGAGGCCTATACCAAGATACATCATAATTAAAATGCCAAAGGTTTAAGGTAAAGAAAGAATCTTAAAAGCAAGAGGAAAGCAGTTGTTACCTATAAGAGAATACCTATATGACTGAGCTGATTTCTCAACAGAAACTTTGCAGGCAAGGAGTTAGCAAGAAATATTCAAAGTGATGAATAGCAAGGACCTACAACAAAGATTATTACTCTTCCCAGCAACACTATCATTTAGTACTGCGCTTCGCAGACAAGAAAAAGCTAAAGGAATTCATATCACCAAACCAGTATTACATGAAATGGTGAAGGATATTCTTTAAGGAGGAGGAAGGAGGAGGAAGGAAAAGAAGGAAAGAAAAGGGTGGAGAAAAAGGGAGGTGGAGGAAGAGGATAAAAAATATGACAGTAAAATGGCAATAAATATTTTAAAAAATGAACAAGGAATCTAGTGTGAACAAAATAAACTGATGAATAAAATAGAACCAGAGGCATAGAAATATGCTTAAACTGCATCCCAAAAAAAGATCATGATTCACTCAGTTTATAGCATATACGAGACCGGAACATTTTTTCACAAGCTCCATACATGATTATGATGCACAATCAGGATTGAGATCCACTGTTCTACAAAATCAGAGACTCTCAGAATTGAAAGAGACTTCTGAAATCTCTGCTCCTTTCACAGATGAGAAAACTAAGTAATTTTTACCCTATCATTTATAACAGACCATATCACTAAACTGTTCTTTCACATAGATGTCCACTTTTAATTCCTCCCTTTAGTTACCTGACAAACTAAAGTACCTTCATGATATCTCGTGCTTCAATCACAATAGAAAATTACTTACAATCTACAAAAATAGTATTTTAACTGTTCAAGTATAACACCTATTCAATTATAACACCTATTGTAAGTATACAACTAGAGGCCTAGTGCACGAAATTTGTGCACTGGAGGGGGTGGTCCCTCAGCCCAGCCTGTGCCCTCTCGCAGTCCAGGAGCAGAGGGGGGCAGGAGGAAGATATCTGACTGCAGCAGAGGCAGGAGAGGCTTCCGCCAGCCACCACAGCTGGGCTCGCCAGCTGTGAGCCCCACTACTGGTTGAGCAGCGCTCCCCCTGTGGGAGCACACTGACCACCAGGGGGCAGCTCCTGCATTGAACAACTGCCTCCTGGTGGTCAGTGTGTATCATAGTGACCAGTTATTCCACCATTCATTTGATTTGCCTATTAGCCTTTTATTACATAGGATAGTACTTTTTTTTTCTACTTTTCATCATCATTATAGGAAACGTCAAATTCTTGTCCTCAGTTATTTAGGAAAAATCAACTCTAAAGTATGTAGTTTTTACTTTCCATATTGAATACTCTGAAACTAATTTTCCTTAATAAAAGTCAAGGTTATACCAAACTTCGTTTTTCAACCACCTATAATATAAACAAATTCAAGGAATAAAGAAAGCAAAAAGGAGACTGACTTTACCTTTTTCACAAACTACAGAATCCCACTTATTCTTTTTTCTTTCTTTTTTTTTTAAATCAATCTTTATTGTTCATATTATTACAAAGGTTCCTCATTTCTTCCCCCCTCCACCAGGTTCCCACCCCATCCTCCGCTCCCTCTCCACCCCCCATTGTCCTCATCCATAGGTGCACAGTTTATGTTCAGTCTCTTCCCCCCTCCACGAGAACAGTCAGTCCACTCCCTTCCCATATCGCCGACTCTACTACAATGAACAGCTATTATTGTTCATCAGGTTTTTCAATCTTTTTTGTTGTTGTTGTTGTTTTTAATTAATAAACTTTTACACTTCTAAGAATAAATTTTAAAATCTAATAATTTTAAACCTTGGTTTTTTTTTCTGCCCTGGGAATTGAGAAGCAAACTTGTTTACATGTAAACTTGCCCTCAGGCTATCAAAAGGTGTAGCCATTCAAGTATAAATGAACACATTGTTTAAAGATAGCTACTGGTTGGAATTGGATTACCTGTTCTGGGTGGGAAGGGCTTGTCTTCCCCTTTCTCCATCAAAATTAAGGTGTTAGCTTTAAAACCTCTTTTTGGCAAGAGACCCCAAACTCTCAGAACTTTAAATTTTTCAGATAGTAAATCAGTTACTTAACATTTTCTCAAATCAATAATACCTCCACATGCCCAAGGAGAATTCCACTTATTCTTATCTGGAATACTTAGGAGTTTAAACGTTTGAGGCCTAAACACTTCAACACTTCAATTAAGTATTTTAATTTCTTGTTCTGGTTACTTCCTTAACCAAACTAAGTGAAAATTTCCAAGGGATTTCACAGAAGAAAAAGAAAAAAGAAAAAAAAGTCCCTAAATAATCAGTGGCTCTCTTCTTTCATTTGGCAAACATTTACTCAGGACCTACTAAGTGCAGGACTTTGTAACTCTGGGTCACTTGCAAAGTAGGTGCTAATCAGGGTCCAAAAGCAACCCATAGAGGATCAAGTGCAGCTTCAGGAAAAGAGAAAGGGAGTAGGGGGTTCAAGCTTCACAATAGCACCTCAAAGACAGTCAGACCATTTAAGAAACTCCAGCATGTAGGATGGCAAACAATTGTGCAGAAGACTCCATTCTCTTTAACGTGCATTTTTTTTACTCTAAACTACCTGCTCCTATGTGTACCTCTGTGCACGCTCTTCTTTGAACTTTTCTTCATTCATTCACCCACGATGTATTGTGCCAGACACCACTAAGGATAAGACTGGGAATAAGACCAGAAAAGCACCTGTTTTCCTGGAGCTGACTGGGATGAGGGTGCATTCCAGATACAATATGCAGGTCAAGATAAATTGTGAAAAGAATAACGGCTATGAAGAAAAGCAGGTTAAGTCTGAGGCAGAGGCTGAGGGAGAGGCTATGCTGTATAGATATTGCTCCCCAGGCCTGGAAGAGTTAGGACCATTCCCGGAGTTCCCACAGCACCGCCAAGTATCACTCTGGACAATAAATGCCACACTCTGTGGAGCCCCCACGACTATGAAAACTAGCAGTAATCTGAAACTGGCTCTTCCTCCGCTTAGCACCTAAAGAAGAACATAGTAACAAGAAATAAATATGCTGTTAACCAACGGTGGCTGAATGAATGGACTGAACCAAAACATTTTCCACCGTCAGGGAAGCTGGAGAGATGCGCCCCTGAGCCCTATTGAAGCCATAGGTGAGCCCTAATTAAGACACAGGTCGCACCTCAGGAGAACCAGCACCTCCCACCCCCCGGGCTCCGCAGCCGCGGAGACAACAACATCCCCGCGGGCTGGGGGGCGCGTCCCGGGAGGGCTGGTGCCGGCCGGGCCCCCAATGCCGGCCGAGGCGTTCCAGGCCAGGAGTTTGGAAGAGGGGCCACGCGCCCCGGCTCCCCGGCCACACTCCACCCCCAGGCCCCAAACGGACTTCTTTCCCGCCTCCCGCTTAACTCCGTCGGCGCCGGAGGGGGCGAGGCGGGAAGGAGGCCTGCCCCGGGCTGCCGGAGTCCAGCACAGGCCCAGAGGCGGGGGCTGCTGCAGCCGGGCCGCGGGAGAGCTTACGATTTCGGGGTTAAGACGTTCCTAGGAATACGCACCCCAGCGCCTCTAGTGTGTCCAGAACGTCCCCTTCCATCGTGGGTTCGGGACCCGGCTCGGGCCCTCTCATGATCCTCCGGGAAACAGCTGTCCGCCGCTCTAAGGAGCCCGCCGGAAACCGGCGTCACCGCGCCAAGGTTCCGGGCGGGATCTTGGCTAGGATTGCCTGCAAGTGCCTCTGAGTGGGAGCTCAAAGGTTCCCGGCCTGGAGGCAGTCTGTGCTCAGAAGGCTTTATTTAAAATAATAACAGAAATAGTAATAAGAAGCGTTAGTTCTTACCTGTGGAAGTCAATCTTAGCAAACATCGCGATTCTACCCGAGTTTTTCTCAGTCTATCAGACTCCAGCCCTCTCTTTTTATAACAAAAATACCTAAGTACCAGAATAATTAACTTGAGCTAAAATTAGTACGTAATATCATGTATCCACACATATAATTTTTAAATCAATATACACGGCAATGCTCCAAGTTTAAGAAATAAGGGGCTGCTAATTTATACTTCTTTTGTTTCATTGCAAAATGTGCAAGATTGATGAAACTATCAGACGTTTGCACCTATCTACAGAATCTTATACACAATATGCATCCTATTGCTGAAAAAGTATAGGTGAATTGTATAAGAGACATCAATAAAAGTTGCATGTCACCATCTTAGAGTATTCACTAAAGGAATAATCAAATGTAAAACTTATAACTAACAATAAGAGAAAGGGAAAACAGAATAATGAAAAAAAACACACATAGACTAAATCTAAAAATTAAAAACGGGGGGAAAAAGAAAATAAGTTAAACCATAAGACAGTGGGTAGAAATATTAACATCAGAAAAAATAGCTGCTAATGCAGGAAGTATCAGAGAGACATAAAGAGGGACACTTCATAATAACAATAAAAGTATCAAGACCACAAGAGGCTATAACAATCCTAAATGTTTATTTCCTTAAGTAACCAGTCTCAAAATATAACCAAATGAACTTAAAGGAGAAATACTTAAAGGTGAAACATTCTGTGAACTCTCAGTAATATGTATTGTAATAACTATGTACGGTGTCAGATGGATACTAGACTTATTGGGGTGATCTCTTAAGTTACATAAACATCTAATTACTATGTTGTACATCTGAAACTAATATATTGTATGCCAACTAGAATTGGAAGATTAAAAATTTTGTAAAGTAAATTAATTGTAAAGTAATTTTAGAAAACAAAAACATATGATCAGAAAACATCCTCTAAGGACCAATTTAAGGTAAAGATTAAACATACAGGCTTCTTCCTCCCGTGACTGTTACAATTGAATTGGCCACAGACTACCAAGAACAAACTTATAGTCTGACAAAATCAGATGTGTTGATTTTCAGTGAGGGAGCACACTGCAGAGGAACTGTATTAGTCAAGAGTCTTGAGAGAAATAGAAGCAACAGGATATAGATGAGATTTATTATATAGAATTGTCTCATGCACTTATGGAGGGCAAGTGCCACAATCTGCTGGCTGTAAACTGAAGAACCAGGAAAGCTGGTGGTATAATTTAATTAGAGTCTGAAATGCAAGAACCAGGAGCTCCAGTGTCTGAGGGCAGAAGATGGATGTCCCAGCTCAAGAGAGAATTTGCACCCTAGCTGGTTTGGCTCAGTTTGTTGGAGAGTCATTCCATACCTGGCAATGTTTCTCTCTCTTTCTCTTCCCTCCTCTCTAAAAAAAAATCAATGAGCATGTCCTCGGGTAAGGATAAAAATAAAACGAGAGAAAGAGAGAGAATGTGCCCTTCTCTCACCTTTTTGTTCTGTTGGGCCCTCAAGAGACTAAATGACGCCCGCAAACATTGTTGTCTACCTTTACTTGTTCTACTGACTCAAATGGTAATATTTCTGGAAATATCCTCACAAACACACTGAGAAATAATGTTTTGCCATCTATCTGGGCATTCATTAGCACAGTCAAGATGATGCATAATTTAAGCATCACAGGAGCTGTGGCATGCCACTCAACAAGAAAGAGAAAGAAACATCTAGAGTAAGGTTTGGATTCCACTGAAGGATTCTAGAATGTGGCCATCAATTATGGATTAGATCCTGCTTCTGAGGTAGAATTAAAAATGGGAATCAATGAGGGATTAGGTGCTTAAAAGATACTCTTGACTAATGCAATCCTATTAACATTTACTAAGGTTCTATAAGCTACACTGGTCTCCAGACACTCACTTTTTCACCTGAACTCCAAAGATACGTTTACAGAGTCTGTCTCTCTCTCTCTCTCTCTCTCTCTCTCTCTCTCTCTCTCTCTCTCTCTCTCTCTCTCTCTGTGTGTGTGTGTGTGTGTGTGTGTGTGTGAACATGCATGCATACTTATGTGGATGGGGAAGGGTGCATCGCATAGTACATGCAATTGGTGTTGAATAATTATTCAAATCTACATACTCTGGATATTTATAGGAGATTATAAGCTCAGGTAACTAATAAATAAGCACACATATTGTACAAGGTGCTGAATTATACCCTGAGAATAAAATCGTGATCCAATATCATCCATGTTTTCAAAGATATGGTTACACAGCAAATCATAGTCAAGGCAAAATGTAGTGTGGGCAGTGAGCCCGCATAGCACTTCAGAAGGAGGGGAGACACTTGCAGTCTGGCAGAGGTGGAGAGAACTCCTATCAAGCACAGAGTGGGAGCTGGGCTTTGACTGAAGAGAAAGATTTAAATACAAGCACGAAAGAAGACATTTTTAAGGGATTTAGATGAGGGGGTAGAAAACAATTAAAGAAAGGGTCACTGGACCAGTTTGGGTCAGGAGAAAAGCTCCTGAAGAGAGGAAAATAATATGTTTGGAAATGTAAGTTCAGATCAATCTGCTGAGACCCTGAGGATTAATGTCTTATTTGGTAGGAACTGGAAAACCATTGTAGATCTCTGACTAGAGCAAAATCAAGACAAATGTGTATTTAGAAAAATGTACTTCATAATTCAATGCTTTTTACTGGGAGAGAGAATGGAGACCTTCTGGATGCTGCTGTCTAGAGATAAGGTAATAAAAGTATGAATGAACCTTGGGGCAGAAGGAATGAAAGGGCAGGAGCAGCCACTGTATTTACTGAAAGAGGGAAATAGACATCTCACCACTGATGAAATGCAGTGAATGGAAGAAAAAAGAACCATAGAAGAGGCCATATGTTTTTTTAAACTAAAGAACGCTTGGAGAATACGTAACCGAGATCCATTTTACTGGTGAGCTGAATTCCAGAGAGGCTGAGTACCTTGTCCCATGTCACACATGTGGTCACTATTAGAGCTGAGGAGCTGCCATGAAGCCCAAGCCTGTCCCATGCTCAGCCTCCTGTGTGTAGGTGAAGACCTGGTAATCAATAAAGATGGTCATAGGATAGACCAGTGGTCTGCAAACTCATTAGTTAACAGAGCCAAATATCAACAGTACAATGATGGAAATTTCTTTTGAGAGCCAAATTTTTTAAACTTAAACTTCTTCTAATGCCACTTCTTCAAAATAGACTCGCTCAGGCCATGGATTTTCTGGAAGAGCCACACTCAAGAGGCAAAAGAGCTGCATGTGGCTCGCGAGCCGCAGTTTGCCAACCACTGGGATAGAGTAATGGAGAAGACTGACAACACCCCAGAGCATGGCAGTGTGGATAATAGTCAAAGAAAAACTAACAGTGGATGAGATAATGGGCCAGGGAGGAGAAGAGGGTGGAGGAGGTTATAACTATCTAACTATTCCAACCACATCTCCAGAATAAAAGCATAAAAATATTAGGGAATGGATCCTAACCCTAGAAGAAAAGGGATTATAAATATCTGAGAGCTGATAGGAGTAGGCCTTCCGAGAGATTTGCTTGAAGCAAATACATTCATACCATTTGAAGCTGATTAAGCTCAGAGCGAGGAATCTAGGGGCTACCGTTAAGTTTGAACCATCAACTTTCCTTCTAGCTTGTTCACCAGGAAGGGTCAGGAGTAAAAATGCCATGCCAGGGCCAATGTCTGGCAACAAGGACCATGTCTAGCACATCATGGGCTTTATGAAGAAGTAAAGGTGAAGACAGTAATGAGAGTCCCTTAACAGGCAGCCTGCTGGGCTTCTGATTCCTGCCAACGAGAAGGATGGTGAGGTTAACAGAACTGGGAACTCTCCCCTGGGCAAGGCAGGATAAAATGAAACACAGATTTATAAAGGCCCGCTCAGAGCCCTGGGGGTTCCTCCTCGTCCTCCTGTAGTGGAGGGAGGAGGCAGCTAATCCCCAGTACCTTTACCTACCACACCACCACCAACTAGAGCAATTCTAGGTTATCTTCCCCTTGTCCTCACAGCTCACAGATCAAGCTAGCACATTTCAAAACAAAAATGTCTAACTTAAACATTGTTTGAGAACTATTACTGCAAGGCATCATCCCAGCTGCATTCCACTGCCTGCTTTTTGGTGTTATTTGATTAAAAACACAAACACAGGGATTTGGATTACTTCATCTGCACTGTCCCAGAGAGCAGGGACGTCTGCCATGGAGAACCACCTGGAGAGCTTTCTCCACCAACACTCATCTGAGCTCTATCCTCAGAGATTCTGATTCAGTAAAAGAGACAGAGCCGCCCTAACTGGTTTGGCTCAGTGAATAGAGCGTCAGCCTGTGGACTCAAGGGTCCCAGGTTTGATTCCAGTCAAGGGCATGTACCTTGGTTGCGGCACATCCCCAGTAGGGGGTGTGCAGGAGGCAGCTGATCAATGTTTCTCTCTCATCAATGTTTCTAACTCTCTATCTCTCTCCCTTCCTCTCTGTAAAAAATCAATAAAATATATTTTAAAAATAAAATAAAATAAATAATTAAGAGAGAGAGAGAGAGAGAGAGAGAGAGAGAGAGAGAGCGCGCAAGCGAGCAGGAACGCGAGCGCCTAGGGATTTGTATACCGTTGGCCCTTGAACAACATGGGTTTGAACTGTGTGGGCCAGCTACATGCAGATATTTTAAATAAACACAGAACTATGTATTTTTCTATTTCTTATAATTTTCTTTAACATTTCCTTTTCTCCAGTTTACTGTAAGGATACAGTATATAATAAATAATACATATATATACAATACATATATATATAATACAAAATATGTGTTAACCAACTGTTATCA